GGGAAATAAATCAATTTATCCTCGGGATTTCGGAGCACCGGAGAGCGAAAAACCACTCAAAAATCTCCGATTTTGGGGGAAAAACAAGTTAAAAAGCGAGCGGGGCGGGGGCGGCGCTGGACACGCAGCGTGGGCTTTTTTCTCCTGGTTTTTTTCACTTTTTTTCCCCCTTTTTTCCCTTTTTTTCCCCGTTTTTTTCTCCTTTTTCCCCTTTTTTTCTCTTCCCCGGGCAATAAATGGGGAACAAAGCCGCCTCTGCCTTTTACTGGCCTCGTAAACGGCCCCAAAGCTCCCGAATTTGGGGAACTGAAAGCGGAATGAGCGCGGCTTTGTCCGGCCGCGGGAGATCCCGAAATTTTCAATTTATTTCCAGGAAAATGCGGCAGCGCCGAGCCCAAAGAAAGCTCAGGGTGCACCCAGGGGCGGCTTGAAATTGAAATATTTCAAATTTTACTCATTGAAATATTTGGAATTTCTTTTTTGTTTTTTTTTTGGCTTGTTCAGCATCCTTCCTCCCGTGGCGGACGGTTCATTATTTATAATTATTTATAATTATTTATCATTATTTATAATTATTTGTCATTATTTATCATTATTTATCATTATTCATAATTATTTATAATTATTTATATTTATTTATTTATAAGTAATTATACTTATTTATAATTATTTATTTATTGTTTCTAATGATTCATAATTGTTTATTTATAGTTATTTATGGTTATTTATAATTATTTATAGTTATTTATATGATTTATTTTTATTTTTATTATTTATTTATTTATCATAATTATTTATAGTTATTTATAATTATTTATAATTACTTCCATCGTCCTCGGCAGTGCTCCGGGGAAGGTTTTTCTCCCCCAAAATGCGGATTTTTAGTTGTTTTTATATCTGTGTGTGACCATAAAGAAGTCCCGGCCGGGAGGGGGGCGGGGGCGGTTCGTGTTTATCCTTTTATTTATTTATTTATTTATTTATTTATTTATTTATTTATTTCCCCCCCGAGCTTCTCGAGAGGCGCAGAGATGGCTTTTCTCTCCATCCCCCCTCAATCCCCGCGATCGCCCCCGGAGGCCCCGCGGCCGCCTCGGCGTCTTCCCCGAACAGCTCAAAAAAAAAAAAAATCAAAAACCCAAAAATCCCAAATCCCAGCCCCGCCCCTCCCAGCAGCCAAAACCGCGCGGGGGGGGAGGAAGCGGAAACACAAAAAAAACAAAAAAAAATCAAAATATTGGCGTTGAGCGCCGCTTTATTTAATTTTTTAATTTTTTTTTTCGGTTCTTTATTTTTTCCGCCTGTGCTGACGTGCGGCCGCGCGCGGGGCCGGCGCGGGCGCGGGGCGGGGGCGACAAAAAAAAAGGTAAAAAGGGGAGGAAAAGGGGGGAAAGGGGGAAAAAGGGGAGGAAAAGGGGAAAAAACGGGGGGGGAAAGGGGGGAAAACGGGGGAGAATGGGAGAAAAGGGAGAAAAAGAGAGGAAAAGAGAGGAAAATGGGAAAAAACGGGGAAAAGGGGGGAAACAGGGAAAAAGGGGAGGAAAACGGGGGGAAAGGGGAAGAAAAAGGAGGAAAAGGGAGGAAATTCCGCGGCCGCGGGGGCAGAGAGGGTGAGAGAAAAGGGGGGAAAAAAGGAAAAAGAGGAAAAATCCCCAGGAAAAAAAGTTCGCTGTGAGCGAAGCGCGGAAACGCCGCGGGGGAGGAGAGCGGGAGAGGAAAAAGGGAAAAAATGGGGAAAAAGAGGAAAAATCTCCGGGGAAAAAGTTCAGCGGGGCCCGCGGAGGTTCCGCGCTGCCCCCGCGGCTCTGCCGGCGCTTCCTGGCGGCCGCGCGGTTGATTTGTGCTGTTAATTGTTTGTTGATTAACGCGGGGCTGAGTGCTCCGAAGTCACGCTCCTTCCCTGGGTTAAAAAAACCCTGGAGAAGGAGGGAGGGCTTGGAGTTAATTAGCTTTATATCCGCTTTTATATCGCTTTTATATCGGTTTTATATCGGTTTTTATATCAGTTTTATATCAGTTTTATATCAGTTTTATATCAGTTTTATATCGGTTTTATATCGGTTTTATATCAGTTTTTATTCGTGGTTTAGCCAGACTGGGGAAACGTTCAGCTCCAGCTTTTTCCGCCTGAAATACGGATTAAAAATAATATTAATAATCCGCCTGGGGGGCACTTAATGCTATTAATATTATTATTATAATTATTGTTGTTATTTTTAATGATAATCTGGGGTTGGAGCGGCGCTGTCACCTCCCGCTGTCACCTGGTGACCCCGCAGCCGTTTCGCCTTCCCGGGAAAGATTTTCCCATAAAAAACCCCGAATTTTTCTACAAAACCCCGAATTTTTCCCATAAAAACCCCGAATTTTTCTACAAAACCCCGATTTTTCCATAAAAACCCCGCTTTTTTCCAGCCTGGCAGAGCAGCAGCGCCTGCCGGGCCAAGAGTCCCATTTTCCCCCCTTTAAATGAACTTTTTTTTCCCATTAAAAGCAGAAATTATTCTCTCCCCCCTCGCGATTTCCTCTTGCGCGGCGTTCTGGTGGCGCTTTTTTTTTCTTTTTTAAATTTACTTTTAATTTATTTTCCTTTTTTTCCCCTATCATTGAACTCGCCCGCAGCCACAAAAAAAAGAAAAGTCCTTTTCTCTTGTGCTGGGCAGAGATCCAGAACAAACTCGGGCCTGGCTGTGAATGAGCGCGGCAAACCAAACACCCGAAAATGGAACTTTTTGTCCCAAAATAATCGCTGGTAAAGCCTGGGCGCGCTCTGGTTTTTTGGTTTCAATAATAATTGAATTTCGGGCTGTTTTGCAGCGAGTCCTGGCGCAGATTTCCCCATTTCCCCTTTTTTTTTTATTATTTATTTTTTGTTTCTCCCTGATGAATCCCTGCCTGGAAGCTGCTCGTTTATTTTACTGGATTTTAAAGAAAATAAAAACCAAAATAAAAGAGGTGCCGGGACCTCTCCCCGCTCTCCTTCCTGCGCGGGGATTTGCGAGCAGCCAAGGAATAAAATCACATTTTAACGCCCCAAAATGCCCCAAAGTCGCCGATCTAAAGGATGGCGAGCAGGATTAACAATATCAATTATTAACAGCTTTCCTCCTCTTCAATAATTAATTCTGCATATTTGATCGAGGCAATTACGGGGAGGAAAGAGCAGCGCAAAACCTGGCGGGGCGGGACCGCCGCTGGATGATTATTTTATTTATTTTTACATGGGAAATATTCAATATATTGATTTTTTTATAGAGATTTTTCACCACCTCGGCCTCTGCCAGCGGGGTGGAGTTTTGCTCCCAAAATTTCGTGAATCCCTCCCCTCCCCTGATGGAAAAAATTCCCAAAATTCCCAAAATATCCTTTTTAAAAAAAATTATTATTCCACCATTGCCACGCAGCTTCTCCCACCCGCGAGCGTGACTGGTGGGCTTTTATTTATTTTTAATTTAAATTGTTTCATTTATTTATTTATTTAGTTATTTCTAGTTTTATTTATTTATTTATCCATTCATCCGTTTATTTCCATTACTTTAAAATTTTCTTGCTTTCACTTTTAATTCTATCCCTTTATAATTTTATTTCATTTTTTTAAAATTAATTGTCATACTTGTTAAAAAAAATAAAATTTAATTCATCGTTTATTTGTTTTTATTTTTTTTTTTTACATTTATTTGGGTTTTTTTGGCTCCGGGTCCAGGCCTCCGGCAGCAGCTCCCAGAGGGTTTGTGGCAGCCAGAGAGGTTTTTTTTGGGCCAAAAAATAATTTTAAAAATTGAAATTGTCAGGATTTATTCGGGGAAATCCCCTGCGGGTCTCCCCGCCCTGAGGGATGGGTCTGGGGGAGCAAACCCCGGGAAATGGGGAGGAAAGGGAATTTTTGGGGTTGGTTTAATTGTGTGGAGCGTGGGGAGAGGGGGGATGGGACCCCAAAAACCCCGGGGGACCGAAAACCGGCAGGAATGAACCCAAAACCCACAGAAATGAACTCAAAACCGGCAGAAATTAACCCAAAACTTGCAGAAATTAACCCAAAACCCACAGAAATGAACCCAAAACTTGCAGGAATGAACCCAAAACTTGCAGAAATTAACCCAAAACTTGCAGAAATGAACCCAAAACCCGCAGGAATGAACCCAAACCCCTCCGGGGTGCACCCATAACCTACAAAGATTCACTCAAAACTCTTAGAAATTCACCCAAAATCACAGAAATTCACCCAAAACCTACAAAGATTCACCCAAAACCTGCAGAAATTCACCCAAAATCACAGACATTCACCCAAAGCTGCAGAAATTCACCCAAAGCCGCAGAAATCCCCCCAAACCCCTCGGGGTTCACCCCAAATTTGGGGTGCGGGGCCAGCTCCCCTCCCCGCCCCCCGTGCCCCCAATCCCGGTCCCGGCACCGCTGGAATTTTTTTTAATTTTTGGGGTTTTTTGGGGTTTTTCCCAGTATTTTTGGGTTTTTCTGAAGTTTTTAACGGGGTTTATTTGAGTTTTTTAAAGGTTTTTTGGGCCTGGAGGGTTGGGGTTTCAGTCAGGAGTTTGTTTTGTTTGTTCGTCTGGGTTTTTTGGTTTGTTTTGGGTGTTTTGGTTTGGTTCGAGTTTTTATTTTGATTTTGGTTTGGCTTTGGTTTCTCGGTTGGTCGGTTCATTTGGTTTGGCTTGGTTTCAGTTTTGGTTTTGGGGTGTTCTTTTTTGTTTGTTTGTTTGGGATTTTATTTTTGTTTCATTTCAGTTTATTTCTTTTCTTTTCTTTTCTTTTCTTTTCTTTTCTTTTCTTTTCTTTTCTTTTCTTTTCTTTTCTTTTTTCTTTTCTCTTCTTTGCTCTTGTTTTGTCTTGTTTTTATCTCGTTTCATTTTCTTTCACCGCCCCTCCCACCACCCCCCATCCCCCTTTAAAAAACCCTTCAAAAACCCTTACAAAACCCTTCAAAAACTCACTAAAAATCCAATTTACGCCTCTTTTTCTCCCCATTTCCCCCCATTCCCCAGCCAACCCCGCCGCCAGCTGGCTGCAGGCGCGCTCCTCGCGCAAGAAGCGCTGCCCGTACAGCAAGTTCCAGACGCTGGAGCTGGAGAAGGAATTCCTGTTCAACATGTACCTGAGCCGCGAGCGGCGGCACGAGGTGGCGCGGCTGCTGAACCTCAGCGAGCGCCAGGTCAAGATCTGGTTCCAGAACCGCCGCATGAAGATGAAGAAGATGAACAAGGAGCAGGGCAAGGAGTGAGGCCGGAGGCAGAGCCCCCGGCATCGGCGTTTTGCTCCAAACCGCCCCAAAAGCGGTGCTGGATCCTCCCCACCGAGCTGAAATTTTGGTTATTTTCAGTTTTAACCCAAAGCCCGGCCCTTTTTGGGGTAAGGAATCAGAGGACAGAGAGGCAGAGCCCTCTCATCGTTTTTCTCCAAACTGCCCCAAAAGCGGTGCTGGTCCTCCCCCCACGAGCTGAAGTTTTGGTTATTTTCAGTTTTTAAATCACTTTTCTTCTGGAGGCAACTCCAGCGCGGCTCTTCGTGGGGCAAGGAGTGAAAGGAGACAGAGGAAGAGGCCCCAAATCTCAGAATTTATCTCCAAACTGCCCCAAAAGCGGCGCTGGATCCTCCCCACCGAGCTGTTCCGGCTGAAATTTTGGTTCTTTTCGGTTTTTAAATCTCTTTTCTTTGGGAGGAAACTCCAGCGCGGCTCCTTTTAGGGCAAGGAATCAGAGGACAGAGAGGCAGAGCCCCCGGCATCGGCGTTTTTCTCCAAACTGCCCCAAAAGCGGCGCTGGATCCTCCCCACCGAGCTGTTCCAGCTGAAGTTTTGGTCATTTTCAGTTTTTAAATCTCTTTTCTTCAGGAGGGAACTCAGCCCAAAGCGCGGCTCCTTCTGGGGCAAGGAGTGAAAGGAGACAGAGAAAGAGGCCCCAAATCTCAGAATTTATCTCCAAACTGCCCCAAAAGCGGCGCTGGATCCTCCCCACCGAGCTGTTCCGGCTGAAGTTTTGGTTATTTTCAGTTTTAAATCACTTTTCTTCTGGAGGTGACTCGGCCCAAAGCGCGGCTCCTTTTGGGAAAAGGAATCAGAGGGCAGAGAGGCAGAGCCCCAAATCTCAGAATTTATCTCCAAACTGCCCCAAAACCCAGCCCCGGATCCTCGCCCCGCGCTGTTCCAGCCGAAGTTTTGGTTCTTTTCAGTTTAAACCCAAAGCCCGACCCTTTTTGGGGTAAGGAATCAGAGAGCAGAGAGGCAGAGCCCCGAAGCTCGGCCTTGTGCTGCAAACTGCCCCAAAAGCGGCGCTGGATCCTCCCCACCGAGCTGTTCCGGCTGAAATTTTGGTTATTTTCAGTTTTAAATCACTTTTCTTCCGGAGGGAACTCCAGCGCGGGTCTTCGTGGGGCAAGGAGTGACGGGACGGAGAGGCACAGCCCACGAGCTCGGCGTTTTTCTCCAAACTGCCCCAAAAGCGGCGCTGGATCCTCCCCACCGAGCTGTTCCAGCCGAAATTTTGGTTATTTCCAGTTTTAAATCTCTTTTCTTTGGGAGGAAACTCCAGCGCGGCTCCTTTTAGGGCAAGGAGTGACGGGACGGAGAGGCAGAGCCCCAAATCTCAGCTTTTTTCTCCAAACTGCCCCAAAAAGCAGCGCCGGATCCTCCCCCAGTCCCAGCTCGGCCGTTCCAGCTGAAACTTTGGTTATTTTCGTGTTTTAAATCCTTTTTCTTCTTCCTGAGGTAACTCAGCGCAAGGCCCGGCCCTTTTTGGGACGAGGAGTGACAGAGACAGACACCGAGGCCCCAAATCTCAGCGTTTTTCCCCAAAACCAGCGCCGGATCCTCCCCCAGCCCCAGCTCGGCCGTTCCAAAATCTGAAATTTTGATTATTTTCACTTATTAAATCCCTTCCGGAGAGAGCTCAGCCCGAAGGCCCTTTTGAGTTCATTTCTTTTCCTGTTTCCTTTTTGGGGCTCGTTTCTCTTCCCCTGTTTCCTTCTTCCCCTTCCCCCCCCAGTGTCAGAACAACTTTTTCCCCTTTTTTATTTAATTTTCCCCCCCAAAAAATAAAAAAATACCCCCGACCCCAAAGCGGCCACCCCCAAACCTGCCCGCTCTTTCTTTTCCCCACGCACGGACAGAGATTTGTGATTTTTTCCCCCAATTCCCCCACCCCGACCCCTCCCAGACGCTCCCGCGGTGGCCGAGCACCCAGACGATTTAATTAAACTGCTGCAGGACAGACACATTCATTAAGGCTCGCCTTTAATTACACCCAACAAATCACCTGCCAGCTCCAGCCCGGGGTCGCCGCTCCTCGCCAGCCCCGATTTGGGGTCCCCCCCCCGGTTTTTCCCCTCAATATTTCATTTTTTTGCTCCGTTCGCCGTGCAGAATTGGAATTATTCGGCGGAATTCGGACGGCGGCCGAGCTGGGACTCGGAGGAAAAGTTCCGCGGGATCTTTTTTGGGGCAGGAACGGCCGGTTTTGGGTGGGGAGGAGAGAAAAGAGAGAGGGGAAGGGAGAGGGGGGAGCGTGGGGCGCCCCCCGAGCCGCCTGGTCAATGATTCAGGGGAAAGAGAAAAGGGCGGAAGAACCCCCGCCAGGTCACCCCCAGCTTCTGAGAGAAGAGGAAGAACGGGATTTTCTAGGTTAAAAATTAAAAAAAGAAAAAAAAAGAAAGAAAAAAAAAAAGTACAAAAATAAAAGGAAAAAAAAACAAAGAAAAACAAACTACCTTCGTGGAGCTTTCAGGGAGGGGCCGCTCGTTCCTAGCGCTCGATATTTATAATTTATTGAGGATTTTTGGGACTTTTTTCCTGGAGCTGCTGCAGAGATAAAAGCGCCAACCCCAGCCCGGCTTTTTTTTTTTTTTCTTTTATTCTTTATTTTTAATTGTTATTTTGGACGACTTGGACTCTCCGCGCTCGGGCTCGGGGCGGCCCCGCGGGGTTTTGGGGTTTCCCCGCGAGCTCCATCCTCATCCTCACCGAGGCCGCAGCGCGGATCCCGGGCGGGATTTGGGGTTTTTTGCTCTCTTTAGGGACAGATTTGGGGTTCGGGGAGGGCGGGGGGCAGGGGGGGTTAGTTCAGCTCGGTTCCTGTTGTGACCCGTGTTTCGTGCTCGTGTTTCTGTCAGTGCTGCAGCTCGTGTTCTCGCTCTGCCGTGGCTTTTTCTCGCTCTTTTTAAGATATTTTTTAATTTTTTTTAAAGTTCTCGGAAGAGTTTTGCGGTTGGTAGTGGCCGGGAAAAAACCCGAAAAATGGAATAAAAAATAGAAATTAATCTCTCCACTCGGCTCCGTGCGAGGAGTTTGGAGTTTGAGGCGTCCCAGGGGCTCCGGGATATGGACGGGGGGGGAAAGGAGAAAAAGGCAGAAAAAATGATAAAAAAATGAGAAAAAATGAGAAAAAAAGCAGGAAAAAAAAAGCAGAAAAAAGCAGGAAAAAAAAAAGCAGGAAAAAGCAGAAAAAAGCAGGAAAAAAGCAGGAAAAAGCAGGAAAAAAGCAGAAAAAAGCAGAAAAAAAAGCAGAAAAAAGCAGAAAAAAGCAGAAAAAACCCATTTTTTCCTGCAGTTTATCAGGAGGAACCAGCACAAATCTGGCGGCGGCGATAGCGAGGATTCGCGGATTTGCATTTTTGCAAACCGCTCCTGCACTTTTTTCTGGGGTTTTTTTTCTGCATTTTTTTCCTTCCCCTCCCTCCTCGATCCCGAGATAAAACCCGCGGAGCTGCGCTGAAATTTCCGCCGCTCCAAACCCTCTCAAAAAGGGTTAAAAACCCCAAAAAAACCCCCAAAAAAACCCAAAAAAACCCCAAAAAACCCCAAATTCTCTCCCCGCCTTGAAGAGAAACCAGAGCTGGAGGGTTTCAGACAATTCCCCAGAAAACTGTTCGGGTTTTTGGGTTCATTTTTTGGGTTTTTGGGTTCATTTTTTGGGTTTTCCTCGTGTGAAACTTTCCATCCTGCTCCTGGGGGCTCCAAATTTAACCCTTCTGCTGCCGGCGGGAGTTCAGCGCCACCAAACTTCGCTCTGGGTTTAAAATCCCAACTAAAAAAATTCCATTTTTGAGGCGTTTCGAGCTGCGGGCAGCAGGAAGATTTCTCTAAATGCCGATTTATTTTTTAAAAAACCTGCGATTCAATGACATAAAACGGGTGGGAAATGATGCTCGAGCGGGGCGGGATTTTTCCAGCTCGGTTTGGTGAATCCTCCACGTCTCCAGCGGAGCTCGGATTTGCCCAAATCCTCTTTATTTTCATTTCCAGACGCGTTTTCCACGAGTTCCTCGATGTTTTGCGACCCCATCGGCCACCGGGATTTAGGAAGTTTTTTTTCCCTCACTTTCCTTAGAGTTGTGCTAAAGAGCAGATATTTTTAAGATGACGATTATGAGGTTCTTTGAGAATAGAATTGAAGATGTTAGCTGGTTTTATTAGGAAATAATCTTAAAAAAAAAAAAGAAAAAAAAAAAAAAAAAAAGGAAATGTTGGGGAAATTGTTTTCTGTAGCACCAGCCCGGATGTATTTTCCAGAGATGTTTTAATGCTCCAGAATAAAAACCGATTTTAGAACAACGAGCAGCGCTGTCCTTGTGTTCCTCACCCCGAATTCTGGAATTATTCCCGCCGTGGTTTCCTGGCGTTTTTTGGGTTCAGGTCTCCAAAAATCGGCCCAGGAGAAGTGGAAATGATTCCACTCCGGAGCAGCGAGAGTTTGCTGGGTCCCGCCCGAGCTTGGTCCTTTTCTGACGCTTTATTTCGGATATCATTTTAAATTCTGAAGCCCGAGGCTGCGGCTGCGCCTCCCCTTTGCTCGCGGGTTTATTTCTGATTTTTGGCTTTTCCATCCCTTCGTTCCCGCCCCGGCCCGGGGGAAAAGGCTCTGGGTGGATTTTCCGCCTTTCCTCGCTTTATTCCCCTCTGGCCCAAGGAAAAACTTCCCCCGAGAAGATGAAAAAAAAACCCAAAAATCCCCAAAAAGTCCCCAAACCCCCCAAAAAACCCAACGGGGGAACCCCACCCGCTCTCCCCGCCCGGCGTCACCTCGGGTTTCCTTTTTCCAGGAGCGATTCCTGCGATTCCCTCCCGAAATTCCTGTGACGTTTTATCGCTCACGGAGCCCCGCGAGCGCCTGGGAAGTGGTTTTATATTAAAAAAAATTAAAAATTAAAATGATAACAATTAAGAAGCGCCAAGCCAAGCCCGAGTCCTGCTGAGCCCCGCAGGAAACAGGTACGAGAAGCAGAGCCCGCAATCCCCTTCCCACTAATTTTTAACAAAATGGGCCGCTCTAAAGGGCAATATTTCACTTCTTAAGGGGGAAAAAAGGGGGAAAAAATCTCCTTTCTTTGGGGCAGCCCTGAAAAGAAAACAAAAGAAGAAGGAAGATTTTTGGGGCTTGCGGAGGGAAGGGAGAGAAAGGGAAGGAACTTGTCATAAAGAAAGGAAAATCCAGCGCAGTGTGCTGCCATAAAAGAATATGACCGCTATAAAAGTTTATAGGGTATAAATTTCTGAAGGTTAAGGAACTGAGCGGCTGTAAAGGAAACGGCGCAAGGAAACTTTCAGGAACTCCTAAATTACTCCAAGGAGCCGGGAGCGCGGGGAAGCCCCGCGCGGAAGGGCTCGCCCGCTTCCCCTCTTTTGCCTTTTATTTCTCTTTTCTTTTCCTCCTTTTCTTGTTTTTTTTACCTAGGGAGAGGCATGTCAAAAAATCAGAATTGTGGGGGGAAAAAATATAAAAGGTGGGGAGGGACTTTTGTTAATTTATTCTTCTCTTGCAGATGCCGTGAAAATCCAGCGCTCGGGATGATCCCCTTTGTTCTTTTTTTTTTGTTTCCCCTTTTTTTTTTTTTTTACCCTTTTTTTTCCTCTCTTTAAAGCAATTCCAGGCCTGCACACAACAACAACAACGCACGCACAGGAGGCACCCCCAGCGCTCGCACCCTCGAAGTTCTGGCGAGACGTCTGGGCTGGGGAAGCTCTTGATGACTTTACAGCCCCCCCTGGCCCCCCGGGCAGCAGAATGACCAATTGTTTAGTCTCGGAATTTGAAACAATAGCTCGTTTCAGAAGCGAACCCACTTCGCCTCTTTTTTTTTTTTTTTTAAATAATTTTTACTTTTTTATTGCCGCACTTGGAGGAAACTCCCGCGCGGCGAGGGCGGAGAGGCGACAAAAAATCCATTCTCGTTTCCCCCCTCTTTTCCTCCCTCGCCTCCTTCCCTTTTTTTACATTTTTGACGCTGTTTCATGCTCGCGGCGCGGAGCGGCGGTTTGAATTTTGGTGGTTTTTTCCCTTTTTTGGGTTTTTTCCCCGGCAGGCGCGCCGCTGCAGTTCCGCGCGCGGCCGCGAGGTGGAGCCGTTGCTCCACGCTAGAGGCGCGAGCGCCGCGCGCCCATTAGGTAAAATATTGGGTTAATTATCGCTGTTTTGCCCATTTTACAGCTCGCATCTCCTCTTTTTTTAAATTATGCCAGGCTGGGAAGGGAAAAAAACACCGCGGCAAGGCGGCGGCAAAGCCGCGGTGAGAGGTGGGGCGCGCATCTCCGCTAAATGTTCGTTTAAAAGGGAATAAAAAAGAGCCGGGTTTTGTTTTCTGCTGCTCTGGGGGTGGGAGGACAGCTGAAATTACCCCAAGCCCGCAGATTTACGTTTGCAGGGTTGAAAAAAGAGAGCGGCTGGAAGATTTCGGGGAGAAAGGGACGCGCAGAACCGGGACAATATTTTTCCTCTCGGCCATTAGGATGATCTGCGCTTTCCCCGCTCGATATTTTATGTGTTTTATAATCCCAGCCACCGCAGGAAAAAAAAAAAAAAAAAAGAAAACAGAAGAAGGAAAAAAAAAAACCAACTCAAGCATGCAACAAAACAAGAGCATTTGTTTCTTTTAGAAGTTGAGCCACTCATTTCTGGCGTGGCTGCCCCATCTTTGGGCAGGGCTGATGCTCTTCGCTCGAATTCTTCACTTTAACAGCTTCAGAAATATTTTTTTTTTAATGCCACAAACGAGTAAATGAACCCAAAATGCTCTTAAACCACCCGGGTTTGGGGTACATATAAATACACCCCTGATGCGGCGGCAAAAATGTCAACTTTTAACTCCACCAGTTCGCTTTGATTTTGGCCTTTGATTCCTCAGAATTACGAGGCAAAAAAAATTGACTCAGATGTTGCAATTCTCCCGCTACAAACGCGGCAATAATTTCAAGATGGGTTTTCTTTCAAATTGGTATAAACGGGTTTTTTTCCCCGGGTGAGAATTGCTCCCGAGTTCCACCAGAAACCGCTCCCGCCGCTCCAAAAATCGAGATTTTGGGTGAGGGCGGATCAATTCAAACCCACACGCAGCAGCCCAGGGTGGGAAATCTCATTTGAAGAGGCAAAGTTTGGGCACCTCGAGGCTCCGTTTCAACGCCCCGGCGTGAAATACGAGCGCAAACAGAAACAAATGAGCGAAATGAAGAAAAATCTGGCCCCTGTGCATTGGGCGAGAGCAGAGCGCAGCAAACTTGAGGTTCAGCAAGGAAAGGCTTCGAGGCTCTTCCATTTTTTTATTTTTTTTGCCTTACGAATTCCCAATAAATCTTTCCTCCGCCGGGTGTTTATAAATTATCTCTCCCCGGCACCCACGCCGCGCTCTCGCGCCGGCCGCGCTCGCTTTTCCTTGGAATGGAAACATTTTCCTTTCATCGGGAGCCGAGGCCGGCGCGGCGGTGATTTAGGATCAGCCACTGATTTCGGGGCTTTGCTGGCTCCCGGAGCACCCAAACCCCTCTCACTTGAGCAAAACCTCCCCTTCCCACCGCAACTTCCCGGCCTCCGCCGGTTCCTGCCTTTCCCCCTTCCCAAACCTCGGGAACAGCCACAGCAGGAGAAACTTCTGCTGGAAAATCACTTTTTTCCCATTCCATTTTAATTTTTTTCTTTTTTTTTTCCTCCCTCCCTGGATATTCCGGCATCCCCCTCGGCCAGGTTACAAAGCTCTGTTTACTCCTCTGCACCATTTTTATGTCGCGCGATGAAACCCAAAATCTGCTCGATCGGCAATAAAAGTGGGGAGAAAAAAGAAAATGTTAACTCGTCTTTTAGAGGGGCGAAAAAAGCCTTAATTATAGCGCCGCAAGTACTCCAGCAGCAATAATTACTGGGAAAGGCTCTTAGGCTCGGCTGGAATTATCCCTGCGCAAAATAAAGGAAGCGTCTTTACTTAAATTATTTCTCAAAGGATGGGTTTAAAGTTTTATTCCGTTGCTATCTTTGTTTTCTTTCTTTTTTTTTTTTTCCTCTTCCTTTCTGCCTTCCTGCCTTTCCCCACTGATAATTTTAGTGAGGATTTTCAAATTATTTTTTAAGCCAAGGTAGAAGAGCGGAAATATTTCAACTTTTCCCTCTTTTCTCGTGCGGTGGAGGTTGAATTTTGTCCCTCAGCCGGAGGCGGGCAGGAGCCGAACCCTCCTAAAATTCACTTTTTGCGCTCAGACGGAGGCGGTGGGGAAACAGCAGAAACAGGCGGGGAAAAGCGGGGAAAAAACCCGAAATTGAGGTGGGAAAAGAGAGGCTGGGAAGGAAAACCCAGGCGGAATTGCGGGGGGCTCCGGGGGGGCCGGGGCGGGCGCGGGTCGTTATTAACTGAGAAACGTCTGGGTAATATTTGCTGACTGCGAGAAATGAATTTCCAAATCTACCCCCTGTGTGTTCCGGCGGTGGAAAATTGCAGCGCTGGCATCCGAGGGGCAACTTTGGCTCCGCTGGTACCAAACGCCAATAAAAGAGAAAAGCTTCTCGCGCCTCTCCCCCATCCCCATCCCCCCGGGTTTTTCCCTGGGAAGGAGTGGAGTGGAGGGAAAAAAAAAATGAAATAAAAAGGAATGAACTAAAAAAGAACGGAATAAAAAGGGATGGGATAAAGAGCTGGAAGTTCTGGGGGCGAGGGGGGAGAGGGGAGGGTCTCTGCCCTGGAGGCCGCGGAGCCGCAAATTCGGAGTTTGGAGCCACCCCGAGCGAGCCCGGGTGAGGATGAGGAGGAGGAGGAGGAGGAGGAGGCAGCGAGGGCGCAAAGCCGATGTTCTAGCTGGAAAAGTGTCACGGTTTTAATTCAATATTGACACCTCCGCGCCTGGCCGCGGCCGCGCAAGGCTCCAGTGCAGGGCTGGGCTTGACAGCGGCGGAGGAGCGCGCTCGTAAAACCCGAACGGCTTTTATGGAGTGCGGCATAAACAACAACAACATCCCCGGCTTTATGGCGCTTTATAGTTTGTTAAACAGTTTACGGCCTTTTTTGGGGCTATTACAAACGCAATTCCCTTCATGCGATAGTTAAACCTTTATCAATAATAAGGAAATTGATCATTAAAATGTTAAATATGACTACCTCGTTTGTTTTAAAATATGTTTAGGATAAGAAGCTGTATGATTTGATAACTTGTATTAAAATACCAATTACATTTATAGGACCTTTTAAAACTGGTAGCAATTAAATCGTGTTCTTTTACAGTTTTCCAAAGCGACCCTGACATTTAAAAAGGCTAAAACTGCCTCGTTAAAATTTTGAAATTAACGACTGCGAGCGCTCCTCTTTAATTTTCCAACACTCCCCAAAAATCAATCTTTTGGGTGGTCTAGGTACGTGATTTGTTGTGAGGCGAGCGATATCTCATTAATGGAGGTAGTTAAACATATTTAATCCGTATATTCACCCCACCTCCTCCTCCCTTCCCCTCTCCCTCTCCCTCCCTCTCCCTCTCTCGCTCCCCCTCGCTCGCTTTTCCTTCTTTATTCTCCCACACTCTTCCTTTCACAATCATGCGGTGCAGAGTCCGTGTGGAGTAAGGAGAAGCCAATAGGATGAGGTTTTGGTAATAGATGCAAATGATCATGAAAAGACACTGCAAAATATGAAACAACTCATTTGCGCTGAAGTAAATCACTGAAAACTGTTTATGAACTGGCATCTCTTCTTGGAAATGTAAAGCGAGAACTCTTTAAGTGGCGATTTTTTTTTTTTTTTTTTTTTTAGGGGTGGGGGGGGAGGAAAGAATTCAATATCATGCAGGCTTAGAGTTTTGATTATATCCTCCTTTTATATTCCTGGAAATCACAAACTGTCGTTGCTTAGCATCTTAGCGCTTTCTTTTTTTGCTAATAGATTCTCGTGGTCTGGTTTGTTGTGGGGGTGATTTTTTTTTTAAATATTTTTTTTAATTTTTTTTTTCCGCCTGCTTTAAAAAAAAAAAAAAGGACAAGGGAAAAAAAAAAACCAACCTCTTATTGAAATTAAAATGAGCTCCTATTTTGTCAACTCACTCTTCTCCAAATACAAAACCGGCGACTCCCTGCGCCCCAATTACTATGACTGTGGCTTCGCGCAGGATCTGGGGGGCAGACCCACCGTGGTGTACGGCCCCAGCTCGGGGGGCTCCTTCCAGCCCCCGCCCCAGCTCCAGGAGTTCTACCACGGCGCCTCGTCGCTCTCCAGCTCCCCTTACCAGCAGAACCCGTGCGCCGTGGCGTGCCATGGGGACCCGGGCAACTTCTACGGCTACGAGCCCCTGCAGCGGCAGAGCCTGTTCGGGGCGCAGGAGCCCGAGCTGGTGCAGTACGCGGACTGCAAGCTCGCCGCCAGCGGCCTCGCCGAGGAGGCGGAGAGCTCGGAGCAGAGCCCTTCTCCCACCCAGCTCTTCCCCTGGATGCGACCGCAAGGTGAGGCGAGGATGGCGAGGAAGGGCGAGCCCCGCAAAGCAACCCCCAGCTCGCCCCCAGCCCCTTTATTTTATTTTGTTGGTGGTGTTGTATTTTGCTTTTCTTTCTGTCCCCCTTCTTTGCCGCCTTTCTTTCTCTCGCTGCCTTTTTCTTCCCCCCGGTGACTGTATTTTACTGCTTTATGGGGGTAAACTTTTGCACTTGTAAATTGCTTTATAGTTTAATTACCCTGAAGGAGACCTTTTCTTCTGGGGGCTGAGCGAGCCGGGCTTTCTGTGGAAGGAAGCGTCCTTAAAGTTTATGGCACTTTTATAGCCTCAAAAAGCCCCTTCATTTTTGCTGGCCGCTCGATCCGGGCTCTCGGCCGCGCTGCCTCCCCTCTCCGGGCTGCAGCCGTTGATTTCTTCCCGTTTTCGGGGTTTTTGGGGGCCGGCTGCGCTGTTGTTGCGCTGGGGGTGCTGATCAGCGTGCAGAGCGCAGCTCCAGCCGGGGTGGGCTGAGGGCGACCCCCCCTCCTCCTCTCCCTTGCCCTGCTCTCCCTCTCCCCCCGGCCCCTCTCCCCTCTGCAGCACCCTCTCCCCGCGCCCCCTGGGCTGTCGGTGCCGCTGGCCGAGCCTGGTTTGTGTTTCTCTCAAGCTCCTTCTCTCGTTTTCCCCTCTCCCACCCCAACTCTGCCATCCCCCAGCAGCCGCCGGACGCAGGAGGGGGAGGCAAACCTACAGCCGCTACCAGACGCTGGAGCTGGAGAAGGAATTTCTATTTAATCCCTACCTGACCCGCAAACGGAGGATCGAGGTCTCGCATGCCCTGGGATTGACAGAGAGGCAGGTCAAAATCTGGTTCCAGAACAGGAGGATGAAATGGAAAAAGGAGAACAACAAAGACAAGTTTCCCAGCAGCAAATGCGAGCAGGAAGAACTGGAAAAACAGAAAATGGAAAGAGCCCAGGAGGTGGACGAGGAAGGGGAAGCACAGAAGGCGGACAAGAAATAAAGGGATTTTTGAGGACTGAAAGGCAAGCGCTGCTGGGGTGGAGGAGCCCCCGAGCCCCACGTTAATGGCAGTCGGTGTGAGGGAGGGGTGGGCTGGGGGGGGACAAAAACAACAAACCAGAAAAACAAAGCGTAGAAAAGAGAAAAAAGGGGGGAAAAAAAGAAAACAAAAAAAAAAAAAAAAAGAGAAAAACCACCAAAAAAAAAGAAAAAAACCCCAACCCCTTTTATTGCTGTAAAACAATATAGCTGCGAGCAGCACTTTCCCGATTCTCCTCTGACACAATGCGCAGGAGGCGGGAGGCACCGGGAGCTCGCTGCCTTTTGCCAGTTATTAACTAGCGGTAGTGTAACGCAATAGCTTCTGTAAAACATGACTGTGAAATCCTCTCTCTCTCTCTGTCTTTCTCTCTGTCTCTCTCTTCTTTCCGGGGGCGTGGGGGGTGGGTTGGTTAACATAGCTTTCAGCGCTAGAGGAGTTATGTGATATTACATTTGTGCACTTTTTTATTTTTTTAATTTGGGTTTTTTAGTTCGTTATTTCCCCAGTCCTGTTTTTGATTTTGGTTTTTTTTTTTTCTTTTTTTTTTTTTTCGTGGTTTATCTGTGTGTACTGGAGGTAGCTATTGAGACAAACATCCCAACAACATGAAACTGCCTATTTATGCTATAGTTATCTCTCTCTTTCTCTCTCTTCACTTTCCCCTCCTCTTCTTTGCCTTGGTTAGGGTTTTTTTTTTTTTTTTTTTTTTTTAACCCAATTTTTCAATGTCTCTTCCATAAGAAAAAAAAAAGGGAAAAAAAAGAAAAAAAAAAGGCGTTTTTCTCTCCTTTAGTTAGCATGCGCACAGTGAATCAAGTTGTAAAGTGATCTTTAGGTTAACTGTGAAAAAGAATGTATACTGTATACGTGAATTACTTTATTGGGGGAACTAATGCTATATTTTGTTGTTCTTTCACCACTTTGTTCTATTGTCTAAACCTGGAAGCGGCGGAAGAAAAGTTACAATAAAGTTTACAAGCGACAATTCCGTGACATCATTCTTTTCGCCCTGCTCCGCTTCCTCCTGCACCGCTGCGATAGAAAGGAAATAAAAACCCAAATTTGTGCGCGGACAAAAAGGCAAAACCCGGCCGGGCCGGGCAGGGCTGGGGCCGGGGAGGGGAAGGGCCCGGGGCTGCTCCTGCTCTTGCTCCTCTTCCTCCCGGCTCTGACAGCTCGGGCTGCTCGCGGAGACCCCGCTGCAGGTAACCCCCGGTGCATTTCGCGGCGGTTTTGGGGCTTTTTGGGGCTTTTTGTGCAGCCCGGGGCGCTCGGGCGCTTTGTGCGGAGCGCAGCTGAGCCGGGGATGCTGTAACCTTGGGGAAGGAGAAAGCAGCACCAAGCCCGCACCATTGTCTGCTTTTCCTGCCTCCCGGAGTTGGTTTTTTTTTTTTTTTTTCTTTTTTCTTTCTCTCGACGCCCCCCTCCCCATCCCGCCCCAGCCGGGGCCGCCGCCTCCTCGCACAGAAATACAAAAAAATATTAAAAAGACAAGAGTCAGCTCGGGTTTTGGGTGGTTCCTGTGCCTGGCCGGCGGAAGCAGAGCAGGCAGCTGCTCAGCCCCGAGCCGGCCCCGGCAGGCGCCGAACGAGGGAGCCCAGCGCTCTTTTTGTGCCCCAGCAAGGAAAGCAAAGGCCAGCTCCGTGCGCGGCTCAGAGCCCGTGGCACTGGAATAAATCAGATACAGAGCTGGGCGGCATTTGGGGGTGGAAAAAACCCGCCTGGAACGATTAGGTATCAATGAGACATTTGTCTTTTTTTTTGAGACAAGACACCTGGCAGAGGGCTGGGGGGGAGGGGAGGGAATTATGGACAGTCTGGAGAAAAAAAGTAGCTCGGAGCCGAGGAAATGGTGCGAAGGAGGGAAATTTAGACGGGATCAATAAAGGGATAAATAGAAGTCCCTTCCCTTTCCTCCAGCAGAGAGAGACCGAGAGAGCCTCGCTGGTTTGTCAGCAACGTGCTTGTAACCCCCTCCCCTTCTTCATGTTTTTTTTTTTTTTTTAATTTTTCTCCCCCCCTTTCTCCCTCGCTCCGAGCTGAAAACTGATTACAGGTTGCTTATCGACTCCAGCACAATTTCACCCCTTGCAGCAGGGATCGCGCAGGGTTTTATACGGCATCAATTATTTATCATATTTGATAAATCCAGCCGCACAGTCCCGTGCCCCCGAGGAGGGGGCGGCCCGCGATTGGCGCCGGCGCAGCCACGTGCCCGCGCGTCACCGGGGCCGGGAGGAAAAAGGCTCCTTTTTGGTGTAAATCTGGACTCTAATTCCGTAATATATCACGGTACCTCGTAAAACCGACACTAAAACGTCCCGACCTACAAATCACCCGGCCAAATTATGAGTTCATTGTATTATGCGAATGCTTTATTTTCCAAATATCAAGCCGCAAGTTCGGTTTTCCCATCCGGAGTCTTTCCCGAGCAAACTTCTTGCGCTTTCGCCTCCAACAGCCAGCGAGCGGGCTATGGGGCCGCGTCCACGCCTCCCTTCGCCGCCTCCATGCCCGGCCTCTACTCCGGCGGCAGCTCCGTGCACCCGCAGCCCCCCAGCGTGTACCCCTCGGGCTACGGCCTGGAGCCCGGCTCCTTCAACGTGCACTGCTCGCCCTTCGAGCAGAACCTGGCCGTGATGTGCCCGGCGGACGCCCCCAAGCAGAGCTGCGGCAAAGGCGACCCGCGGGACGCGGAGCTGCAGGGCGACGGCAACTTCCGAATCTACCCCTGGATGAGGAGCACAGGTACGCGCGGGGAGGGGGAGGGCCCGGCGAGGGGGTCGGGGGTGGGGGGAGTGTGAANGGCGGAGGAGGGAGAGGGGGGGTTTGGGGGGGGGTCGTCCCCAGCTCCTTTCGTGACGTTTCACTGAAAATGCGTCTCGGAAAGAGGGGGGGGGGAGAGCCGCACACCCCCACCCCCTCCTGTCCTCCCCCCACCCGGCCGTAAAGCCGAGATTTTAGCTTTAAATATTTATCGGGGCTGTGTCCGTCCGTCCGTCTGTCTGTCTGGGAGGGGACAGACGGAGCCGCAGCCATCGCGGGCAGCCCCTTCTCCTGCCGCGGCACTCGCAGGCTGAGCTGGGCAGATGGGGAGGTGGATCGGGGGCGGAACTGGCCTTGGGGGCGCTTTGAGGGCCGGGGGGGTTTTCTTTGGGGGTCCCGAGCTCCGTCCGGCAGCCCCCCGGTGCCGGGACAGCAGCTCCGGGAAAGCCCCGCCGGCTCCTCCGGGATGGCTGATGGGTGGCACGGGATAAAGGGGGGACGCCTCCTGCCCCACAACCCTCGCGGCAATGCCCTTTGGGGTGCCCGGCCCGCCCTGCTCAGCCGGGGGGGCTCCGGGGGCGGCCCCGCTGCGGGTCACGCAGGCCCCGCGCAAACCCCGACCCTCGGGGCCGCCCCCGGGGCCCGGCGCGCTCCGTCTCGGGGCATTAACGTCAATTAACCATTAATAAATATCCCTTTCCCCCGCCGGGGAGGGGTCCCGGCGCGGCCCCGCTGCCCCCGGGAGCGCTCCGGGGCCGGGCTGGGCGCTCCCCCCGCTCCGTGCCCGGGGCACCCGCGGGGCGGCTCACGGTGCCCGTGGGGCCGGTGACGGTGCCCGGGGCCACCCTTGGGGACCGTCACGGTGCCTCTGGTCACTCGTGGTGCCAGTCACGGTGCCCGGGGTCACCCGTGGAGCTGATCACGGTGCCCGGGGCCACTCGCGGGGCTGCTCACGGTGCCCGGGGCTGCTCACGGTACCCGGGGCTGCTCACGGTACCCGGGGCCGGTCACGGTGCCCGGGGCCACTCGCGGGGCTGCTCACGGTACCCGGGGCTGGTCACGGTGCCCGGGTGGGGAGGGTCGGTCACGGTGCCCGGGTCTCCTCACCCCCCGGGATGCCCAGAAGCGGCAGAAAGGCGCTGCTGTCCCGCCTGGGGGGACCCAAGGCGTGCGCTCCTTTTCCAGCCACAGCTCGGGAGCGTCATCCCCGCTCCGCGGCCGCGGAAAAATCCGCGAGAGGGCTCGCTGGGAGAGCCGGGGCGCGTTCGGAGCGCGGCCCAGGCCGGCCCGGGGGGAGCCGGGCAGCGCAGCAGCCGGGGCAGAGCGCTCGGGCCGGCAGCAGCTCCCCTCGCTCCTATTTGGTGGTCACCTCTTCCCATTACCTGCCCCATCACTCATCCGCTTTTACAGTTGATTTATCAAAGAGCAAATATTTCTGGTCGTAAACACTTCATCTCTGCTTTTATCCGACTTTAGATTTAAGGAGCCCCCCCCCGCTCTCTCCTCTTGCAGCCGGTGACGCTGCGGGGATCAGCACTGGAGAGAAAGAGAGCAAACCTCCAAAACCCCCCAAAACCTGGATGTTGTGGCATCAGCTGAGCCTGAACCCACAAAAACTCGACTTGGGGCGTAAGACGGGGGGTCCCGGCCTTGCGGCCCCCCCTGGCCGGTGGCCGGGGTGCGATCCCATCCCGCCGGTGGAATTCCAGCGGCCAGCAGAGATAGAGTTGTCATCCCATTCAGCGGCGCTTTATGGCTCTGCGCTCAGCGGATTTTACAACCCGCATTCCACGACCTGCACATTTTTGCTTTACAGCTTAGCCAGGCCTATTTTCCCTTTTTTTCTTTTTTCTTTTTTTTTTCCCCAAAATGCCCCAAACATCCCCTGGAAGGGTGAAAAGCCGGGACAGCTCCCGGTGGCAGCTCGGGCAGAGCAGCCTGCGGGGTTTCGGGGGGAGCAGATGTCTCCCCCTCTCTCTGTCCCCCCCTCTCTGTCCCCGCGCTCATTTCCCCCCAAAACCATCCCCAATTTCTGGGGTCTGGCTGAAAACCGAGGCAGGAACCCGGAGTCTGGCAGGGCAGGAAACTTCCTGAACTTTGTTGTTGGCTGTGAGGCCGCGCCGGCCCCGAGGCTCGGGGAAATTAAATTTGGGGGGTTCGGGGGGCTGCGAACCCAGGGCGAGGTGGGGAAAGCCTCGAGCAGCAGGAAAAAATTAAAATTTCCTCCAAATTAAAGGAAATACTGACCCAGGCCGCGATTTTGGGTGGCACCGCCGAGGAGCAGTTTTTGCGCTGCGCAACAACGCGGCAAAAAAACCCAAAAAAACCCAAAAAAACCCAAAAAACCCCAAAAACTCCCCCCGAGCTGACCCAAATCTGCGTTTTTTCGGCAGGGACGGACAGAAAACGAGGCCGGCAGACCTACACCCGCTACCAGACGCTGGAGCTGGAGAAGGAGTTCCACTACAACCGCTACCTGACGCGGCGGCGGCGCGTGGAGATCGCCCACGCGCTGTGCCTGACCGAGCGCCAGATCAAGATCTGGTTCCAGAACCGCCGCATGAAGTGGAAAAAGGAAAATAAAAGCGCCTGCCCCGGCTCCGGCGGGCAGGAAAAGGCAGACGCCGAGGAGGACGAGGAGGAGTGAGGTGGATGCAGGAAGAGAGAGAAGGGGGAAAAGGGGGGAAAAGGCAAAAACACGCATTAAAAATAAAAAAAAAGGACTATATATAAAAATAAATGATAAGCGGATCGATAATAACCCCTAGGAGTGATACCTTGTGTTTGATGACACTGAGAGAGAATACTACCTATATTAGAGTCTCTTTTTTGGGTTTTTTTTCCTTTTTGTACGATAGAATATCTACCTATTCCATGTGGCTTTAGAGTCAGGATAGAGACGTTTTTTCCTGTGTGAGCCTTCCTCTAGCAGCAGTGGTTTGTAAATCGCTGTCGTTTGTACCTCGCTGTGCACCGGGGTTTGCGTTTTGGGTTGTTTTTTGTTTTTTTCGGGGGGTTATGAAGTAACGTGGTCGTGTTTAGCACCTTTAATTTAGGAAATGTGACCCGAAAGCCCGAATGCAAATTCCATTTAGCGCGTAGAGTCCTGTACAGAATATGAATTATTATTATTATTATTATTATTCCTCCGTCCTCCCTGCAGCCTCTGTGGTTCTTTTCTCCTCGCGATGCTCTTTCGTCTGTGGATATTTTTACCTTCGTTGTTCGAGCCTCTGCGGGGGGGGAAAAAAAAGGAAAAAAAGAATTAAAAAAAGACAGAAAAAGCAGAGGAATTAATATTGTGCTCCGTCAAATGTTGTATATCAAAGTAGCAAATTATTTAATGGCGGCGCGTTGCTTTTTTGTTATTATTAATAATAATAATTATTATTTTCCTTCGTCCGTGATTATTATTCTTTGAAATAAAAAGGAGATCTCCAACCACCTACAGCGCGTTGGGTGCCTCCCTCTTTGGCTCATTAAAAACAACAACAAAAAAACCCCAGATTTTTTGGCATGGCTTTGAAATAAAGGCGATGAAATTTCCTTTTACCCCGATTTATCACCCACATTTCTCTCCTTTTCTTTGGCCCGGCCGATCCGTTGGAGATCTCGGTGTTTCTTCTGTAGATTTGGTGAATTTCCCGAGAAATAATTGATTTTCGGGGCTCTGGAGATGCGGGCTGGGCTCTCTCCCCTCTCCCTCTGTGCTTGCGCTGGGATTATTCCTGAGGAAGGAAAAAATTTTAAAAAAAGGAATTTAAAGAACCCAGAATGGCCCCAAATAATCTCCCCGCTCCTCGCTTCAATTCTCTTCTCCTCCGAACTAATTTGCACCGAGCCGATCCATTGCGCCGCGCCTTTGGCCATTTTATTTATTTATTATTTTCTTTTTAAGGTTCTCCCTCCGCCCTTCAATTACTTTACCGCGGACTGGAACTCTTTCATTAGCACCAAATAACGCCGAGCATCAAAGCGCGCATAAAATAAATTAAAGCAATTAAACGCGGGGGAAGAAAGAGAAGAAGGAGAAGAAAAAAAAATTTAAAAAATCAACAAGGCAAAACAAAAGGCGAGTGAATTTGAGCACTTGCGCCTCGGCCTGGCTCTCCCCTCCCCGCCTTTTTTTTTCTTTTTTAAAATTAATTTATTTATTTCCTCCGCCCATAAAGGCGCGGAGGCTCCGCGGAATTTCACTCGGCGGGGCTGAGCGAGATGCGGAGCGAAGGGAATTAAAAAATAAATTAAAAATCAAAAGAATAATTAAAAAATAAACTAAATAAACCCAAATTCAGGGAGGAGTTGGCGGTGGCAGCCCCGCACCTTCCTCCTCCTCCTCCTCTTCCTCCCCTCGCTCCTTTTTCACCTCCCACCTCCCCCCGATGATTTCGTGCCCGCCGCATCCTCATTTTTTAATTTTTATTATTTTTTTTTCCCCAAAAATGCGGCGCCACGTCAGGGACCTGCGCGCCCCCAGATTCGCTGCTGGCCCTAATTATGGAAATGCCGTAATTATTAAAGGCTCGGCTCGGCCGCTTTTCCCCCCGAAATTCCCGTCTGGAGGGGAAAATCCAGGGAAAGGAAAGGGAAATCCAGGGAAAATCAGGGGGAAAATCCAGGGAAAAGGAGAGGGAAATCCAGGGAAAATCAGGGGGAAAATCCAGGAAAAAGGAGAGGGAAATCCAGGGAAAATCAGGGGGGAAATCCAGGGAAAAGGAGAGGGAAATCCAGGGAAAATCAGGGGGAAAATCCAGGGAAAAGGAGAGGGAAATCCAGGGAAAATCCAGGGATAATGAGGGGGGAAATCCAGGGAAAATCAGGGGGGAATCCAGGGATCATGAGGGAAATCTGGGGAGAATGAGGGGGGAATCCAGGGAAAATGAGGGGGAAAATCCCTTTTCTCCGCAGCAGCGCTGCCTGCAGAGCCGCGTTGGGGTGTGGGGGTGAAACCAATAAAAAATGAAGCGATTCCAGAATTTTCTGGCCCCTCTGTCGCTCCCGGAGCCCCCCCCCCTCCCCGGGCCGGGGCTCTGCGCTGGGGGCGAGCGGGAATTGGGGCGAATTCCAGGGAAAAAGGGCAAAGCCGGGCTGGGATCGGCCAGGGGGGCCCCCCAAAATCGGCCCCGGGGGCAGGGCGGGGTCCCGGGGGGATTCGGAGCCCCCCGAGCGCTGCCCGCGGCTTTTCCTGCCTTTATTTCCTCCCCCCCAAAGCTCCCGATCGCCCCTTTCAGCCTAAAAGATCCCAATTGTGACCCAAAAAAAGGGGAATTGAGGCCAAAATCGCGAACCCCGCTGTTTTACTGCGCCTTTCCCCCGTTTCCATCCATCCCAAAGCTCCAGCTCTTTATTCTGGGGGGGTTTTATTGTTCCGAAATTTCAGGCGTTATTCCATTTTTTTTTTTTGTCCCCAACGACCCCCCCATATCCAAGCCAGGGGTGGGGTGAAGGGGGTGAAAAAATTAAAAAAAAAAAAAAATCCCCGACCCCTCTTTTTGGATAATTTTTTAAAAAGAATATTATTTTGTTGTTAAAAAAAAAAAAAAGATGGCGGCTAAGAAAAAGACTGCTGTTAAACCGGTCATGAAGAAATGCAATAAATTCCTTGTTGTTTTATGAAAATTTACAACTTTGTGATAGAACTTTATGAGTGGCTGGGTTCTGGGATTGGCCAGAGCCGGTCATGTGGACTGCTAACCGTGAACATGAACTTTTTATTATTTCCCATGTGGTTATATTGCACCATTCTTCTGTCCGCTGCACCTTGGGTCGGATCAGTGTCCTCTATAGGGCTCTCGCCCTCTCTCTTTGCATTTTTTTACTTTTGTGTGTAAGCTCGGCAGGGTAAAGCGGGGCCGAGGGGCGGGGGGGCCGCACGCACCCCGGGCTCCCCCCTCCGCTCCCGCACCTCCAACACCTCCAGCCAATTTTTCTTTTTTTTTCCCCCCCTAATTATTACCACCATTTTCCCCGCTATTTTTAATTTTTTAATATTTTTTAATTTTTTTTTTTTAAATCCCACTCCCCCCCTCCCATTTTCCCCGCTGTTTTTGGGGTCTCGGTGGGGATGGAGGGGCCGAGGGGATCCCGCACCGGCCGCGCCTTCGGCACGGGGGGAAGCTGCTCCTTTTTCCGGGCAAGGGACAGAAAAACGCGAGCGGCTCTGCGGAGCCCGGGAGGCGACGGACGGCTCTCAGGTCGGGACAATATTTGTCAGGCAGCAGATGAGCCAAGGCTGATCTCCCCTGGCCCCAAATCCCCGCTCCTGCCCCAGACAAGGACGGCAAAAGGTAAGGGAAGAATGCGTTTCTCTTCCTTTATTGTTGTAGATGGAAATAGAGCTGTGTTCTGTATTTTTTTGTCATTGAAAAAATGGATTTGTCAAGCTGCTTTTTTCTCCTGCGCGGGGAGGGGAGGATGCGAAAGGGTGGGGTGGTGAAAAAGGGAGGAATGAAAGGTTTGGGGATCTGTTCAAGCGACAATTCCAGCCGGAAAAAAGCGGAGATTAGAGGTGAGGAAAAGACAGAAATAACGGTGGAAGAAAGAGGGGAAATTAATTGAGAGGAAGGCGAGAGAAATAAAGGCGGAAAAAAGGGGGAAAGAAAGAAACCGGGGGGAGGAAAGGAAGAAATAATGAGAAAAAAAAAAAGAAAAAGAGAATGAGAAAAGGAAAAGAGGATGAGAAAAGAAAAAGCGAGGCAGAAACGGAGGAAAAACGAAGAAAAGAAATAGGAACTAGGGGGAAAAAGGGGAAAAGGGGCTGGGAGGATGAGGAGGAAGCCGGGTAAGGTCACCTGGAGCCCGCAGTGCGAGGAAGCGCTCGCAGCCCTGGCTGGCTCAGCCCGTGCCTCGGCCGAGCACCGAGCCCTGTGCGGGCGGTGTCGCGTTTTATTTTGCTGGTTTGGTGCAGTTTGGGGTTTTCCTCCCCTGGCAGGGTGTCGGGGCAGTCTGCGGTCCCTTGGCGCAGTTTCTGGGGGAGCCGGGCGGGCTCTGGGGGTCGTGCTGCTCTCCAGGCTCGTTTGTCGTGGGGGCGGCTTCTCCTTCGAGGAGAGGGCAGCTCGCGGAAATCCCAAAATCGCTGCCACAAACACGACCAAACAAAACAACAACAAGCAAAAAAACCAAACAAAAAAGGAGGGGGAAGAAGGAAAAAAAAAAAAAAAAAGGAGGAGAGGAAAAAAAAATCAGAATGAAGCCAGCGCAGAGCGCCGCGCTCTCATTCTCTCATTGTGATTTTTTTTTTTTCTCTCTCCCCAACTCCCAAATGAAGCTGACGTGGGGAAGCAATAAAGCTCCTTGGTTTTAATTGCGTTCTGCAGCTCTGGCGGGGCTTTGGGGCCGGGGTTCCAGCCCGGCCGAGGCGCGGCTCCGCGCAAACCCCGCTGCTCTTGAAGGGAAATATTCCTCCGGAGGAATGGGGGTTCATCTCGTTTATTTGCTGTTTTTCCTCGCTGTTTCAAGGGCGGGCTGCGGGATATTTGTGTTAATCGCTGCCGTTCCGAAGTGGTTGTTAAATAAGAGAAGGAAGGAGCGGGACGCAGGCAGAGCAGATTCACGGTTTGAGCACAAACCCTTTTATGACGCGACGATTTATCTCGGGCCGAATATTGCGTGCGAGAGGGTAAATGATGGCGAGCCGCGCGAGCCATAAACAGAAGGACATTTTTAGAGGCGATTTCTTCCCCGAACCTGTTACATTTCTCATCAATCAGCGGCCGAGGGGGTTGATAAAATCCGCGGGTTGATAAAATCCGCGGGTTGATGAAATCCGCGGGTTGATGAAATCCGCGGGTTGATAAAACAAAATCCGCGGGTTGATAAAATCCGCGGGTTGATAAAATCCGCGGGTTGATAAAATAAAATCCGCGGGTTCATCCTCCCGCTCCCCCTTTCCCCCCATCTTTTCGCTGTGGTGGTTTTTTAATTCCTGTTGGTGCAGGGGATGAAAAAAAAAACAAATCAGAAAGAACCAATTTAAGGCAGAAACGTCGCTTTTGCGCCGATTCTCCGCGGGCAACCACTTGTGGGACCCCGACGGGCTCGGGGGGGTTTTTAACATTTCCCAGCGGCGCGGGGCGAGCCCGAGCCCTGCGGCTGGGGGGGATTTGGGGGGGATTTTGGGGGGTTTGGGGGTGGTTTGGGGAGTTGGCAGCTCCACCCCGCCGGTTCATTTCGGGAAAAGCGGATTAAAGGCCGGCGGGGCCCGGGGCTCGCCCATTCCGCCGGGGGTGCTGCCATCTACCGTCGGCAGCGGCGGCCCGCGGGCACCGGGGGCACCGGGGGCACCGGGGGCACCGGGGGGCACCGGGGGCTCCCCCAGCCCCGAGCCCCCTCCCGGGCTGACCCCACCTCTCTTCCCGCGGGGGGGGAGCGCAGCTTTCCCCTCCCCCCGGAGCCCCCGCGGGTTTTGTTCCGCCTGGAAATTCGGATTTTTGGGGAGGGGGCGGTGGGAGCCAGCCGAGGTTTTCCCGCAGGGATGAGCTCGAGAATCCCCCGGGATCGGGGCGCGGGTGCGGAGGAACGCGGAGGGGCCGCGATGGGCGGAGGGGCCCCTGGGGGGGTTTGGCAGCTCATCATTAAAAAAAAAAAAAAAGGGGAAAAATAGAAAAAAAAAATAGGAAAAAAAAAAGGAAAAAGCGGAAATAAAATGAAATTAAATGGAAAAAGAAAGAAATAAGAAGAAATAAAGTGGAATAAGATGGAATAAGGTGGATTAAAATGGAATAAAATGGAATAAGATGGAATAAAATGGAATAAGATGGAATAAAATGGAGTAAGATAGAATAAGATGGATTAAAATGGAATAAAATGGAATAAGATGGAATAAGATGGAGTAAAATGGAATAAAATGGAATAAAATGGAATAAAATGGAATAAGATGGAATAAGGTAGAGTAAAATGGAATGAGATGGAGTAAAATGGAATGCAAGGGAATACAAAAATTGAATAAAATGGAATAAGATTAAAAGAAAGAGAGAAGAAGGAATAAAATAAAAACAATAAAAAAGAAATATAACAAAACAAAATGAAAAAAATCAAGGAATAAGAAGGAATAAAGGGCAATAATCTGCAATAAAACGCAGTAAATTGCAATGAAGCGGCAGGCAGGGGAGCTTGGCTCCTTCCTGGCTCGCCGTGGCCACCCCGGGCGGGGTCCGGGGGGCTGCGCTGGCTGCTGGGGACAGGGGCAGACGAGGGGTCACTTTTAAGTTACTGTAGGCGCTGCAGGACAATGCGAGCCTGTTATTTTAAAAGGTTCCTCTCGCCCTCCCTCCCTCCCTCCCGCTCGGTTTCTCCCTTCCCCTTTTCTCCTCCTGCCCCGCAGTTTCCTGGCAACTGTTCGGGTGCCGAATAATTCTGGTTTTCCCCCAGAAAGTGCCGCGCTCGGAGGCTCCGGGCTGCCGGGGGAAAATAAAATAAATTTTAAAAAAATTAAAAAATAATTAAAAAAGAGGGGAATGGGTGGATTTGCAGGCGGGAGCAGCCCCTGAAGCCGCTCGGTGCTGTCATTCCGCCTCACGCCGGAGCCGCTCGCCTCTCCCTGCCCCGCTCCCCATCCCTCACCCCCCGCGCCCTCCGGGGCTCCTCGCGGGATATTCGGGTCTGGGGGCGCTCGGGTTCCCTCCGTGCCCCCTCTCCCCCTCCTTCCCCCCGCTCTTTCTGATTTTCGCGTTAATAATTAGCCGCGCTCCCTAATGGAACAATGGCAGATTATTATTGCTGCCATTAGCCAGGTTATTATGCGCTGCACGGGAAGTCAGGTAAATTAAACTTAAATTGCTGGAAATTAACTTTGCGCTGGGAGAGAGGCGATTTTTTTTTATTTTTCTTTTTTTTTTTTAAACACCTTCGGGGCTCATTGTTTTAAATACTCCGAGCCTGCAGCTCGGGTTTATTTTCCGAAGCGATTTGGGGTGTGCAGGAGCATTGCAGGGCAGGCTCAGCGGCTGCCAATGGATTTTCTGTGTCTGAGTTCCAAGAACAAGGGCTTTTTTCAACTGTTTTCGTGCTCTTGGCTTGACTTTATGGCCACAATAATTCCCTCGGTGGGGAAACCCCCGCTGCGATCTCACTTCAGAAGGGTCGGGAATTCCAGCTCCCCGTGAAAAAAAAAATAGAAGGAAAAAAAAAATTAAAAAATATATTTTAAAAAAGAGTTTCTTTTTTTTTTTATATTGGAAACGACGGCGCGGAACTCTGCCAGCAGCACCGAGCCCGGAGCGGCTCCAGCTCCGCACAAGCCGCGCTCTGTTCTGCCGGCCTGGCCAAATATTTGGGTGTTGTTTTAATCCCCTCATCCCTGGGCTCTGCCGGGGCTGCTGGCCAGGAAAACCACGCGACAAAAAAGAAAAAAAAAAAACTTGTCCGCGCCCCAAATACTTCTGTTAATCTTTATTTATGCCCCGACGCCTGAGCGAGGCTGCCAGGAGGGAGAGGCTGAAACTGGGGCTGCTGAAACTGGGGCTGCACCTTCTGCTGCCCCTCTGCTGAGCCCGGCCTGGAATTTGGGGGTTTTTGGAGGAAATGGGGCCAAAATCTGATTGAAGCCGAGCCCCCTCCCCGTTTTATCGCTCCTTCTTTACATGAGGCCAAAATCTGATTAAAGCCTGGCCCCCTCCCCGTTTTATTGCTCCTCTTTTGCAGACCTCGAGTCTGGAATTTGGGGGTTTTTTTGACGAAATTGGGCAAAAATCTGATTAAGGATGAGCCCCCTCCCCACTTTATTGCTCCTCCTTTGCAGACCTCGCGTCTGGATTTTTGTTTGTTTTGGGGTTTTCTTTAAATATGAGGCCAAAATCTGATTAAAGCCGAGCCCCTCCCCGTTTTATTGCTCCTCCTTTGCAGAGCTCGCGCCTGGAATTTTGGGGGTTTTTGGTTCTTTTTTTAAAGACGAGACCAAAACCTCATTAAAGCCGAGCCCCCTCCCCACTTCACTGCTCCTATTGCAGACCTCGAGCCTCGAATTTTGGGGTTTATTTTTGAGGAAATGAGGCCAAAATGTGATTAAAGCCGAGCCCCCTCCCCACTTTACTGCCCCTCCTTCGCAGACCTCGAGCTTCGAATTTTGGGGTTTTTTTGAGGAGATGAGGCCAAAATGTGATTAAAGCCGAGCCCCCTCCCCACTTTACTGCCCCTCCTTCGCAGAGCTCGCGCCTGGATTTTTGGGGTGTTTTTTTGAGGAGATGAGGCCAAAATGTGATTAAAGCCGAGCCCCCTCCCCATTTTATTGCTCCTATTGCAGACCTCGACCCTGGAATTTGGGGTTTTTTTGAGGAAATGAGGCCAAAACCTGATTAAAGCCGAGCCCCCTCCCCACTTCACTGCTCCTATTGCAGACCTCGAGCCTCGAATTTTGGGGTTTATTTTTGAGGAAATGAGGCCAAAATGTGATTAAAGCCGAGCCCCTCGGCGCCCTCAAAGCCCGGCTTAACTTCAGGGCTACCCCGAGCCCTCCTTGCTGCCTCCGCCTGAGCCGGGGCGTCCAAAATCGACAGAAACGGCCCAAATCCGGCTTGGCTCGGGACCTGGGGCGGTTTAAATTCAAAACTCCGTCTCCAGACGGGGAATGGGAGCCACCCCTGAGCCGAGCGCTCAATTGCGGGAGATTTAGTGCGCTTTAAGACCCCTGCTCGAATTTAAATGTATCGGAGGTGGCAAATCAATTACACCGCGGGCCTGACCCTGGCCACGATGGAAACCGGGGCGGCCCCGGGGCTTTGCCCGGGGTTTCTTCCCACCTTGGGAGTCAAGTTTGTCCCTTCTCCTGCCCCAAGGAAGCGTCGCTAGGGTCGAGGGAGAGGAAAAAAAATTTTTTTAATCTCCAGAGATGTCAGCGATGCGCAATTAGCGAGCGGCCGGCTTCAATTAGCGCGGTTTTATTTTCTTTTAAAACCAAAAAATACTCTGCAAAGGGCCCCTTTCGACCACAAATTATCATAACGAGCAGCGCTGCGAGCTGCCGCCGTGCGATATTTTATTTTTCCCCTATTTTTTTATGCTTTCCCAAACTGTTTCGGGGGATTTATTTGCAGAGCGGCGGCCAGGAGCGGCGGAAAAACACCAGGACAAACATTTTTTTCCGGCGGATTGCTGTTCCTCACGAGCCGGGCGAGCAGGACATCCCATTTCTCTGCCCAAAAAAATTTGCATGCGGGGCTGCTCGCGCCTGATAATCTCAGGCTTTTTTTTTTGCAGAGCCACAAAAATTGCGTAACTCCTCCAGCGCACCAACTGCAAAGCCTCTTATCCCAGTATTTTTTTTTACATTTTCCCCCTTTTCCCCCCCTTTTCCCCCCCTTTCTTCTCTACTCATCGCTCCCTCTCAGCCTCTTTTAAATTTTTTTTAAATTTTCCCGATTTTTTTTTTTTTTTTTAATTTTAACCCTGGCAACTTTGGGTGCATTCCACACACAAAGGGGAAACTCTGCAAGAACAAATATCGGAGATATCGGCCGGGGAGGGGGCGGCGGCTGCAAAACCACTTCCTCGGCCTGTTATTTCCTTGAATTCTGAGCATCGCGCCGGGCCCGGGATGTTCCCGCAGCCGTGGCACGGAACGATCCTGGCCGGGCTGCCGTAAACACGAGCTTCAATCAATGCCTCGTAATCAGATCCCGCTTTTCGGAGCCTCTCCCGGCCCTGGCAGCGGCGGCCGCGCTGGCAGCTCCGCGCAAGATGTGTAATTCTAGATTTGTGGCGCTCACAATTCACAGATTTCGAGGGATTTCAGCCCCGACAGACAGATGGTTACAAATTCGGACAGGAAATAACCCCTGGATAAAACGCGGCTGATCGGGGGGACGCTGCTGGGGTTCATTTAGGTGGATTTTCTTTCCCTTTTTTTTCTTTTTCTTTTCCTTTTTTCCTTTTTCTTTTCCTTTTTCCCTTTTTCTTTTTTTTTTCTTTTTCCTTTTCCTTTTTTCTTTAATTTTCCCATTTTCTTTTCCTTTTTTCTTTTCATTTTCTTTTTTTTTTAAATTTTTTTGTTTGTTTTTTGGCGGCGCCTTTCTGCTGCCGAGACTGATTTTCCCCCTTGAAAAAGAAAAATAAAAAAAAAGAAAAAAAAAAGGGAAAAAAAAGCGGCGAGAGGAGCTTCAACCCCGCCTTGAGCCAGCGAGGAGCTCGGGGGGGATGCGCAGGTAGAGCCAAGCGAGGAAGTCCGGGCGAACCAAAACAAAAAACCCCAAAAAAATAATTTAAAAACCAGAGCAAAGCGGATCCTTCAGAGGGTCGGGCACTTTCCGCGCTGCCTTTTGCGGGGTTTAAACGGACAAAAATCGGCGTTTTGTGGCGCGGGCGGGCTCGAGGGGGGGCGCGGACCTTGCGCACCCCCAGGCGCGGTCGGGGCGGCGGCTCCGCGCTGCCGAGCCCCCCCGACGGACAAACTCCGCTTTTCCCTCGGCCCGGGCCCGGCTTTGGCCCCGCAAGGTCGGGCGCGGGTCTGGCACTAACAAAACACGCGCGAGGGCACAACGCGGGCCCGGCCCGGGGGAAATTCCCCATTTCCCATTTCTGCCCCCAAACGCGGAGCTTTGCGGCGCCGGGAGAGCGCGGAGGCGCGGCGCAGGCAGAGCGCGGAGCGGGCAGCGCTAATTGGCGGTAATTAGCGCAGCGCGGAGCCGCCGAAGTTGTCCGGAGCGATTTCTCCTGGCGGAGCGAGCGCAGCTCAGCCCGGCCGCGGGGTCTCCTCCTGGCCCACTTGGCTCCAAAGCAACTTTTAATTTCATTTTCCTGCCCCGTTCCCACCCGAACTCCGCGCCGAGCGCTGCCGCGTTCCGGGACGAGTCGCAGCCGCGAGGGTTAAAGTTTGGCCAGCGCGAGTAATTAACTTTTTTTTGTTGTTTTTTCTCTCTTTTCCCCCTCTCCGCGCGGCTCCGGCGGGGGTCCGCGCGCATTTTTTGGGTGCAAATATAAAGATTTCGGCGCTCGCAGCGCCATCCGCGCGGACGGGCGCTCCGGGGGAGGGAGAGGAAGAGGGGAGGAGGAGGAGGAGGAGGAGGAGGAGGGGAGGGGAGGGGGGGACCGCACGTTTATTTATTTATGAAGCTCGCAGCGCGCCGGGAGAAGGCTCCTTTCGGCAGATATTATATATTTGGTTAAGGGGGTGCCTTTCTGTTGTTTAAAAGGGAGGGAAAAAGGGGGTGGACGGTTTGTTCTTGGGGGTCCCTGGTGCAATCTCAGCTCCTCATGGGTGCTATTTTGCAACCTCAGGCGCCTGCTATTGGTCAGCCCGTGATCAGATGGTTGTATTTCCTTGTGTCCCTCGCTGGCACCACGCCATCTCCCTTCAGCTAAAACCCAATCTCCGATATACCACTAATAGCTAAACCACTTGGACTATAAAACACAACAAATCATAAAGCCCGGGCTAAAAAGGACGGCACACGCACACACACACACAAGGATTAAAAAAAAAAAAAAAAAAAAAAAGAAAAGAAAAAAAAAGAACTCCCTTTTCTTATTTGTTGAATTCCACTCTCTCTCTCTCTCCTTTCCGATGAGTTCTTATTTTGTCAACTCGACCTTCCCGGTGAGCCTGGCGGCGGGGCAGGAGCCCTTCCTGGGACAGATCCCGCTGTATCCCTCGGGCTACGCGGATCCTCTGAGGCACTACCCCAGCACCTATGGAGCCTCGGGCGTGCAGGACAAGGGCTACTCCTCCTCTCCTTACTACCAGCAGAGCAGCGCAGCGGCGTTCGGCGGCCGCGGCTCCGCCTGTGACTATGGGCCCGGCGGCTTTTTCAGGGACAAGGACCCTGCGTGCGCCCCTCCCAGCCTGGACGAGGTGCCCTCCTTCGGCGCCGAGCCGCGCAAGGCGGACTGCGCGCACAGCAAAAGTGCGTTCGGAGAGAGCGAGGAGCAAAAGTGTTCCGCGCCGGTTTACCCCTGGATGCAGCGGATGAACTCTTGCAATAGTGAGTTTACTCTTTTGCAGAAATAAATGCATCAATCTCCTCCCCCCCCCACTCCCTTTTCTTATTTGTTACCGCCAGGGAGAGAGAGAGAGCGAGCGAGGGGAGCAGCAGGAGGAAGGTTCAACTTTTAGAGCCCAAACTTCCAGCGGGGGAACTTGGGCTCCAAACACGCACCGAAACTTCCCAGCGCTCCGAGATTCCCCCCCCTCCACCCCGAGCTAGAAACGCTTCAGCCCCAGAACTGAATTTCTGAATTTCTGTCCCACTTTCTCCTCTTTTCTGGTTGTTTTTCCCTTCCTCTTTTTTTTTTTTTTTTTTTTCCCCCCCTCCACCCCGAGCTAGAAACGCTTCAGCCCCAGAACTGAATTTCTGAATTTCTGTCCCACTTTCTCATCTTTTCTGGTTGTTTTTCCCTTCCTTTTTTTTTTTTTTTTTTGCCACATTCCTGTTCGCGTGTCACTCAGCTACAGCGATTTGTCTCTGTCCGTGCCCCACACGCACAGGGAGATATCTTTTCTGAATCAGATCTGGATGACTTTACACACACAGCCCCGACCCGCGCCCCGCGCAGCTCCCCCTCTCCCTCTCCCTCTCTGTCTCTCCCCGAGCCGGAATTAAATGATATAAAAAGTGTTTAAATATCTGAAGGCGGACGGTTGCATTTTTAATGCCACTCGCACGTAATGAAAAGTCCGCCTGGGGAGGATTTTCCTGGTTTGCTCCCCCCTGCCCCGGTGATATATGACTTCTTTAAGTGCTGTTTCCTCAATCAGAATTACAATAATAACCCAAAAAACCCAGATAAGTGGGGGGGTGAGGAATAATAAAAGCCTCCCGCTCTCCTTGGCCGTGTTTAGATGCATTTGTTGCCTTTTAAGTTCCAAATTGATGTCCATTAGCGCGGGGACATCAAGTGTTGTGTCCTCTTTAATGCGGACTCCGGGCAGATCGATTCACTTCATTATTGCTTAAATGCCCCGATCTATTACGGCTTTGCCGGCAGGCCGGGGCGCGGCGCGGGGGGGCCAGAACACCTTGCGATCCCTCATCCCGGAATAAGATGGATCCGGCCTTGTCTGTGCCCCAAGCCCGGCTCAAACCCCCCCTGCCCGGCCGGGCCGCCCCGAGCGCTTCTCCCGGAGCTGCGCAGAGCCCTGGGAAGGCGCGGCCCCCTCCTCACCGTCCCAAAAATCGACCTCGCTCTTCCCCTTCACCCTTCCCCTATTTCCCCTTTTGCCCTCTGTTTCCCCTTTTGCCCTCTATTTCCCCTCATTTCTCTTTATTTCCTCTTTATTTCCTCTTATTTCCCCTCTATTTCCCCTTATTTCCCTTTATTTCCTCTTATTTTTCCTCTACTTCCCCTTACTTTCCTTTATTTCCCTTTATTTCCCCTTATTCCCCCTAGTTTCTCATTTCCCTTTATTTCCTCTTATTTTTCTTCTACTTCCCCTTACTTTCCTTTATTTCCCTTTATTTCCCCTTATTCCCCCTAGTTTCCCCTATTTCCCCCTATTTCCATCTGTTTTCTTCTATTTCCCCCTATTTCCCCTTATTTTCCCCTAATTTCCCCCATTTTCGTCTATTTCTGCATGTTTTTCCTGTATTGATCCCTGTTTTCTTCTATTTCCCCTTATTTTCTTCTATTTCCCCCGTTTCCCCCTATTTTCTTCCATTTTCTTCTATTTTCTTCTATTTTCTTCTATTTTCTTCTATTTTCTTCTATTTTCTTCTATTTTCTTCTATTCCCCCCTCATTTCTTCTATTTCCCCTTATTTCCTCCTATTTCCCCCATTTCCCCCCTATTTTCTTATATTCCCCCTATTTTCTCCTTATTTTTTAATATTCCCCCCTATTTCCCCTATTTTTTAATATTTCCCCTCTATTTTTTAGTATTTCCCCCCTATTTCCCATATTTTTTTAATATTTCCTCCATATTTTTTAATATTCCCCCCTATTTTTTAATATTCCCCCCTATTTCCCATATTTTTTAATATTTCCTCCATATTTTTTAATATTCCCCCCTATTTTTTAATATTCCCCCCTATTTCCCATATTTTTTAATATTTCCCCCCTATTTTTTCATACTCCCCCCCATTTCCCCTATTTTTTAATATTTCCCCTATTTTTTTAGTGTTTCCCCCCCATCCCCCCCCACTTCCCCGGATCCTTTGGGGATTTTTTGGGTGACTTTGGCTCTCTGCGGGTCCCGCAGGTTCGTCCTTCGGGCCCAGCGGCCGCCGGGGCCGCCAGACCTACACCCGCTACCAGACCCTGGAGCTGGAGAAGGAATTCCACTTCAACCGCTACCTGACCCGGCGGCGCCGCATCGAGATCGCGCACTCGCTGTGCCTGACCGAGCGCCAGATCAAGATCTGGTTCCAGAACCGCCGCATGAAGTGGAAAAAGGAGAACAAACTGCTCAGCTCCTCGCAGCTCAGCGCCGAGGAGGAGGAGGAGAAGGCGGCCGAGTGATTCCGCAGCGGCGGCGACAAAAACCAACCACCGCCAACAACAAACCAATAACAACCACAAAAAAAATAGAGTAAAAGCAACGCCGACGCTTAAAAAGTTATTTAAAACGCGCAAAACGCCATAAAAAATTGGGATTTAGGGAGGGAGGGAGTGTGAGAGCAGAGGGGAAGAGGGGAGGGGGCTGGCTGCGGGAAATGTCCCTCCTTGGGGGGACGAGCCCCCCCAGCCGCGGCCACCGCCACCGAGTTTGGGCCACCAACGCCCTGGACTCCAATTCCCGATGATTTTGTCCAGAAACAAACAGAAAAAACCACACAAAACTAATCAGGCTTCTTAGTCGCGCTCTGAATTTTTGGTTTTGCCCCTTTCCCTCCCACTCCGCCCCCCCTCCCACACATGAAATGGAATAATAATAATAACAATAATAATTAAAAAGTGAAGGGGTGGAGAGGGAGAAGGAGGGAAAGAAAGGGAAAGAGAAAAAAAGGGAAAAAAAAAGAAAAAAAATTAAAAAAAAGGACTCCTAGCCGTGTTTCTACCCTTGGTGTCACTGTTAGTAATCTGCTAACTCTTGTATTTAATGGAAGTGCTGCAATATATGTCATTTGGGGTGTTTCTTGTCCTAATTTTGTAAAAATGTTTCATGCACGGTTGACATAAGTTGGGTTTTTCATTTTCTTTCTTTTTTTTTAATTTTTTTTTTTTACTCCTTTGGTAAATTAATCAAACCCTGGGGTTCTTTGTAATTAGTTTTGGGGTGTTTGTTTTTGTTTGGGTTTTTTTTTTCTTCTTTTTTGCCTTTTTATTTTTTTATTTTAAAAAGGAAAAAAAATCTACTGAAAGAACGAGTACTACCTACAAGGCTGCAGGAAAAAAAAAAAAAAGAAAAAAAAAGAAAAAAGAAGAAGAACAACGACAGAAAGTTCTATTTTATTAATTTTTGTACGTGTTGTGTTTGGAGTTTGTCTTAGGTATGAACATGGAATTCTCTAATAAAAGCCAAGTCTCCGATCTCACCCGCACTCCCCTCCCCTGTCATTATTAGCGCTGCTTTTCAGGGCATTTCCCACTTTTCCAGGGGGTGAAAAGGAGATTTTAGTGACGATGCCCCCTGATCCTCCAGGACGCGCAACTGGAGTTTCAGGGGACAGAAAAATGTGATTTTCCCCCCTTTTTTTGGCTCTGATGTGCAATGGAAGCCCTTTCACCAGGAGCGTTTCCTGGCTGACATTTCTGCCTCCAGCCCCGCGCTCTCCTCTCTCGCTCTCTCTTTTTTTTTATTGTTACAGTACAAAGAGTTATGACGAAACGCCGTCCCATCTCCATAATAAATCAAGGAAACGGGCAAAAATACGCTCTCATTTATCCACCAAAGCTACCTAACATTTGCCCAGCATCTTTCAAACATCTGCTCCCTCGCTCCGCGCCCCCAAATCAAAGAGAAATGTGGCGCAAAAAAATCCCCCTTTTCCAGCGGGTGAAAAGGAGATTTTCGTGACGATGCCCCCTGATCCCCCAGGACGCGCAACTGGAGTTTCAGGGGACAGAAAAATGTGATTTTCCCCCCTTTTTTTGGCTCTGATGTGCAATGGAAGCCCTTTCACCAGGAGCGTTTCCTGGCTGACATTTCTGCCTCCAGCCCCGCGCTCTCCTCTCTCGCTCTCTCTTTTTTTTTATTGTTACAGTACAAAGAGTTATGACGAAACGCCGTCCCATCTCCATAATAAATCAAGGAAACGGGCAAAAATACGCTCTCATTTATCCACCAAAGCTACCTAACATTTGCCCAGCATCTTTCAAACATCTGCTCCCTCGCTCCGCGCCCCCAAATCAAAGAGAAATGTGGCGCAAAAAAAATAAAAAAAAAAAAATTTAAAAATTTCCAGATTTCCAGGGAATTTACCCCGGAAAAAAGAAATTCTCATGGCCCGTTTAAACTGAGGGGGAAAAGGTGGGAAAATTCTGAGTTCAGCTCTTGGGAAGGGCGCATTTTTATTTTCTCTTGCGGGCGGCTCCTTGGCTTGGCTGGCCACGGGACGGGCAAGGTTTTGTGCTCCTCACCCAGGAATTTTCTTGCGAAATCTCCAACTTTCCCCTGCGTTTCGGGGGAATGGAATGAGAGGAGAGGCTCTTTTTTCTTTTTTTTTATCAGCTGGGGGATTTAGGGCTGGGAAGGCGGCGGGGTCGGGAATGTGCGCGGGGGGGAAAAGGCGAGCGGCGAGCGGCTCGTGGCCACCAGAAAGCCCCGGGTGGGAGCGCGTCCCCCCCGCGCCACGAGCCGCTTTTAATGTCAGCCACTTTTAAAATCAATTCATGCAGAAGCTTCACAGCTGTAGGACATTTACTATTATTGCCACGCTTTTCATTGCCCGTAATTATTATAATTATATGTCACTTTCAATATGGCGCATCATTCCCAATGAGTTGCAGGCGAGCAACGCGAAATTCCTAAAGTGCCTCGGAAGGAGGAAAAAAAAAAAGTAAAAAAAAAAAATTAAAAAAAATGAGAGACAGAGAAAAGGAAAGAGAAAAGGAAAGAGAAAAGGAAAGAGACGGAGAAAAGGAAAGAGACGGAGAAAAGAGAAGAGGGAGAGGAAGAAAAGGAAAGCAATGCCCGAAAAGCTCAGCTCGTGGCCAGCCTTCTCCCCGCTTTCCGAGCGCTTTTGCTCCCCGGTGTTCCTTGCGGGTCAACAAACGGGAAGGAAAACGCAGCTCAAGGCTCAAGGAGGACGTGGAACTGCTCGGGAGCAGGAACATCCTAAAAATCAGCCTTATCGACCATTCCCACCGGCCGGATTTCGCCTCTTTTTCCTCTCTCCCATCCGTTTTTCCCCAGTTTTTTTCCCCCCTCCAGAACTGGGACGCGAGCTCCTGGCCGAAGCAACCTCGACTTTTCCGCCGAGAAACCGCCCCAAAACCACGCTGAGCTCCTCGCCACCCCTCCCAACTGCGGACACCCAGCGAGGCCTCCCAAAACCTCATCCCGAACTTCTGCGGCGCCTTCCCAGCGCCACAAACCCCGAGCCTCCTCCAGAGCCCCCCGAGCCCGGGGGGCGCCGCGCCCCCTCCTCCCTCCCCACCGCGGCTGGCCGCATTTTATTTTATTTTTTTGTATTTTTCTCATTTTTAGCGAAGCGGGGCCGAGCTGGGGGTGGCGGGGGGGGGTCGATTTTTGTTCTTTTTTTGGGGAGAGGAGGGGGCGGCCCGGGGTGCGGCGCGGCGGCGCGGCCGGCAGGTGGCGCGCTCAGCCCGGGCGGGGGGCGATGGCGGCCGCGGATTTGGGGGCGACTTCGGGCCTGGAGCGGCTCCGCGCTCGTCATTATTTGTAACCATAGAGCATGAATTACCTCTTGAGGTCATCAGTGAGAATTTACGACTGGTCAACAAAAGCACGTGACGCCCAAACGCACCCCCCACCCTCCCCCCATATTTGGCCGCATACATAGCAAAAACGAAGTACAGTGCATTGCTATAATTCATTAATACATCATAAATCGTCAAGCACGGGGTTATAACGACCACGAGCCACAAATCAAGCCCTCCAAAATAACCCAAATGAGCTCTTACTTTGTAAACTCGTTCTCAGGGCGCTACCCAAATGGCCCCGACTATCAGTTACTAAATTATGGGACCGGCAGTTCCATGAACGGTTCTTACAGAGATTCAAGCACCATGCATTCCAGCTCTTATGGCTACAACTACAATGGGATGGACCTTAGCATCAACCGCTCAGCCTCCTCCAGTCACTTTGGGGCTGTGGGCGAGAGCTCCCGCGGTTTCCCTTCTCCAGCTCAGGAGAGCAGGTTTAGACAGGCGTCCAGCTGCTCCTTATCTTCTCCCGACTCCCTGCCCTGCTCCAACAGCGAGAGCCACGGCGGCAAACCCGCCCCGTCCCCCTCCGAGCCGGCTCCGGCTGCCAGCACCACCAACACAAATTTCACAGAACTAGACGAGACCAGCGCGTCCTCGGGAGCCGACGAGGGCACTCCAATAAGCAGCAGCATCCCCCGAGCGCAGGCAGAGCCCATCGCGACCTCCACGGCAGCGACAGAAGGGCAGGCACCTCAGATATTCCCTTGGATGAGGAAACTTCACATTAGCCATGGTACAGCTCCTTCTTTTTCCGTCCTTGTGCTTGTTTATTTTCTGCCGCACACCCCCCCCACCTTCCACCTCGCTCTTTTTCTGCGCTGTTTCTTTCTCTTTTTTCCCCCCTTTCCCCTCTTCTTTTCCTCCCCCCCAGCCCCTCTGCCTTTTTTCCCCCCTCGCTCCTTCCCTTTATTCCGCGGAGGCGCTTTGATCAGAATCGCAGCTATTTATTGCTTTTGTATTTCTCGCTCTCAGGCTGCCTCTGGCGCCTGCAAGGGGGGTCTGCGTGTGTGTGTGTGTTTGTGGGGGGCGATTTTATTTTCCTTTCGCTCTCCCCGCCGCCAAACCGGCGCTTTTTTCAGCTCCTAGCACCGCGCGGGCGGTGGGAGAAGGTGATTTAAAAACCGAGGCCAGGGGGGTGTTCCTCGGGGTGGGGTGCGGGGGGGTGGAAAGGCGAGAATTGTCCATTAAAACGGCACCGGGGGCGCAGATGGGGCTCGCGGCCCCGTCCTGCCCCGATTTTCCGCGTTCATTCCTGACGATGTGCCCTTGACAAACCCCCCGGCCCCGGCAGGAGACCCCCGGGCAGGCAGAGCCGCCCCCCAGCTCGCTCCCCGCGCTCCGTTCCCGCTTTTCTGGCGGAGAAAAAGCGGCACCAAAGGCGCCGGGAGCGCCGGGAGCAGCCGGGCGGCAGCGAAGGAGAAGGGCAGAGCTCCCCAGAGCCCCCCAGAGCCCCCCAGAGCCCCCCAGAGCCCCCCAGAGCTTCAATCATGGACCTGGAGCGGGGACGCGGCTCTGGGGGGCCGAGGGTGGGGGGTTTCACACGTGTGCCGGGGGGGTGGGAGAAAAAGGAGAGGCAGGAGGGGGGGTGCTGCTGTTTGGGGGCAATTCGCAGCTTTCCGCTGTTTAAAAAAAAAATATATAGGCGCCGGGAGCGCCGGGAGCAGCCGGGCGGCAGCGAAGGAGAAGGGCAGAGCTCCCCAGAGCCCCCCAGAGCCCCCCAGAGCCCCCCAGAGCTTCAATCATGGACCTGGAGCGGGGACGCGGCTCTGGGGGGCCGAGGGTGGGGGGTTTCACACGTGTGCCGGGGGGGTGGGAGAAAAAGGAGAGGCAGGAGGGGGGGTGCTGCTGTTTGGGGGCAATTCGCAGCTTTCCGCTGTTTAAAAAAAAAATATATATATATATTTTAAAAAGCGCGAAAAATAGGTTTAAAATTAAAAAAAAAAAAAAAAGGTGAAAAATAGAGGCGATGGGAGCAGAAAGAGCAAACGCAAACCCCGCTGTTGTCCGTGTTACCCAGACATGACTGGACCAGACGGGAAGAGGGCGAGGACAGCGTACACTCGCTACCAGACCCTGGAGTTGGAAAAGGAATTCCACTTCAATAGATATCTCACCCGCAGGAGGAGAATAGAGATCGCTCACGCGCTCTGCCTCTCCGAGCGCCAGATCAAAATCTGGTTCCAGAACCGGCGGATGAAGTGGAAGAAGGATAACAAACTGAAAAGCATGAGCCTGGCCTCGGCGGGCAGCGCCTTCCAGCCCTGAGACCCCCCAGCCCGGGAGAGGAGGACGAGGGGAAGAGGAAGACGAGGAAGAGGAGGAGGCGGGCGAGAAAAAAAAAAAAAAATTAAAAAAAAAATCAAACCAACCCCAAAAACGCAACAAAAGCCCCGAGTGAATGATGAAATAAAGTGAAATAAATGAAGGAGCGGCCGCAGGTCTGCAGTTCGGGAGGGCTGTGCACCTCCTGCTCGGCGTGTGGCTGACTGCTCCTAAAAGCAGCTCCTGGGCTACCCTGAGCCAGGGCTCCGCTCGTGGCGTGCTCTCTGTTGGAAGTTTTTTTTGTTTTGTTTTGTTTTGTTTGCTTAAGAAAAAAAATTAAATTTTATTTCCAGATGCTCCTCCTGCTCTCGTTGTTCTTCTAAATGTCTGTGTCCGTGCTCTCTTGGTGCTTTCTGGAAAGCTAGCATGTGTTCTGTGAGCCCTTTGAATGTTATAACTTATTTATAAATCCAGAACAGATACGGTTGTTGGTTTATTTGTTGGGATTTTCTTCCCTTTTTTTAAAATTTTTTTCTCCACCCTTTTTTTTTTCCGAGTTTCCTGCTCTTGGGTGAGTTTTTCTCTGCCCAAGCGAAAATCGGGGGTTCCTGCACTACAGTCGCAGAGAAAAAGTCTTTAAAAACCAACAAAAATATAAAAAAATAGGGAAAAAAAAAGAAAAAAATAAAAAAAAAAAAAAAAGAAGCAGCTCTTGTATCTTTCTGTCTTAAAATTGTCCAGTCTGTGTTTTAGTCCAAACTCCAGGCCAGGATTTCTAATCCCAGCCTAATTCCAAGGCGTACTCTTAGACGTGGGTGAACTTCACTATTAAAAAATTGATAATAATAATTAATAACTCAGAAAAAAAAAGAGAAAAAAAATAAAAAAAATCTGTATAAAAGCGGAGAGCGACGCTGGAGCGCTCTGCTGTTTGTAAATATTAGAAATATTTCTGCCGTGAGTAATAGCCGGGTCGTAGTGGGCAGAGTGAATGCGGTGTTCTGTGTAAAAATGGCATCTGTCATGTCTAGCAGCCGGGTAGTTCTTGGCCGAGAAGCTTTTTGTATTTGTTTGTAGCTTTACTCGAAGTCAAATAAACGTTTTCCCCGACTCACAAAGGCTCCCAGTCGCCTTCTTGCCCCCTCGAGCCCCTCGGAAATTCGCAGCGCGCCAGGTGCCTGCCCGCTCCTCAGCCCCTCCTGGGCACCAGAAACGCCCCAAACTGCCCCAAAATCCGCCGAAATCCCCCGAAATCCCCAATCCCGGCGCCGCGCGGGGTTCCAACACAACCGTGCCCCCCAAATCCGCCCGGGCCCCCCGAAGCGCCGCGGCCGAGGGGGATTTTCCCCCCGGAGCCGCCCCAGCCCCGCTGCCCGCGCTCCCTTCCCTCCCCCGAGCGTTTCGGGGCTGCTCGGCCACAAAAAGCCCCAAAACACCAAATTTCACACAGCAGCGCCCCGTCCCCGGCCGCGCCGAGCTGCGCTCTGCGGCTCCCAAGGCGAGGTTTTGTTAGACCGGGATTACGAATCGGACATTCGTGGCTAAAGCCGAGCTCTGCGCGGCCGCTCCCGGGGTTCCCCCGCTTAGTCCCTGGTTTAAGGTGCAAACCGCGCCTTGGCAGCGGCAGCGGGGGCAGAGCTGCCCTCGCCGCCCGGGGGAGCCGGGACAGCCAGCAAAGCTCGGTCTAAAGGCGCTCGGGCCGAGCTTAGCGCGACGCCTCGGCCGCCTCGCCAGCCCCGCTCGGGCTCGCCGCAAGGAAAGTTGAGCTCGGAACTTACCCAACTTAATCTCTGCCACTGTTTAGGTACTTCTTAAGTGATTTTGAGAGGGATGTGAAGTGGACTGTCAGATCCCAAACCATTTGCTCGCCTTCCCCTTGGTGATTTTTTTTTCCTCCTATTTTTTTTCCTTTTTTTTTTTTTCCTTTTTTTTTTTTTACCAATAGCAAACTATCCCAAAAGTGGGTATGACATTTAGATGTCAAATGGATAGGGGGTTTTATCTCGAAGTTAGATCGTAAAAATCGCCCGGAGCTCAGCCAGATACCCCTCACTGGCTCTCAAAAGTCACGTGAGGTCCATAAAGTTAGTTTTATGGTTTTGGGGAGTTGACAATGTACAATATATTTCACATTCTCCAGAATGTTAAGTGACACTTTAACTGCTCGCTCTGCCTCGTCGGGGGCAGCAATGGGTGAGCACTTTTCCAGATGAGAGATAAACGCTGCAGTTGCAGGGTGAACAATGTTTTGCGGGTCCCGGTCTCAGGGCAGAGGGCCCATGGACTGCAGTGCTCAGAGTAAGTCCTCAAATATTCTCTGCTTTAAAAACAATCCCAAAAAAACCCAAAAAAACCCCAAAAAAATCTGTTTGCGAGCGTTGGCGGGGAGCAACGCGGGGCCGCTTCAACTCTGGGAGTTTTAATCCCGGTTTTAAAGAGGATTTTCCATGGCAGCTCCCAGGCCCGCCTGGGAACTCGGGCTGAAAAATGGGGGGAAATCGGTGCAAAATCCTCCTCCAAGGCCAGCCCGGCCTGGCCGGGCCGCGGGGCCGAGGCTGCGGCTGCCGGAGGGGGCAGGAGGTGCCGGGGGAGGGGGGTTGGAGCCTTTTTGCATTTCAAAGCCCTCTGCTCTCACCTTGCCTGCAGCCCTTTTCACCTGCTCGCCCACGAAAATCCGCTTTTCCTCCTCTTCCTCTGCACCTCGCCTTTGCTGCTCGGGTTGTTTGGGGTTTATTTTTGTTTATTTGGGTTTTTGGTGTTTGGCTGAATTTTTTTTAATTTTTTTTTTTTTGCCTCAGGCCTTTTTTTTTTGCCTTTTTTTTTCCTCTCTCTCTCTTTTTTTTTCTTTTTTTTTTTTTTCTTCCCCTCTTGGGTTTCCTCCCCCCGACGGAGCGCAGACATTTAATGGGATCGAGTGTCCTGACATTTCCGCGCTCCGGCCCTGCCATCTGGAGCCACTGAATGACCACTCTTGTGTCTGGGCCCGGCTTGAAGTGCTACAGAAAAATAATCGCGGGAGCTGCTGCTCCCGCATCTGGAGCCTCCAAAGCCTCTCCCCTCCCTGCCAAAAAGGAAAATTCGGGAAAATCCGCGGCCGGGCTCTGCGCCGGGCAGGTGGCCCCGCAGAAATTGGGCAGCTAGAGCAAAAAAAAGGGAAAAAAACCGAAATTCCAAGCCTGGAGATGCTGCTGTGGGGTTTTTTTGGGTTTTTTTTAGGAAAAAAAACAAAAATTCCAAGCCTGGAGATGCTGCTGTGGGGTTTTTTTGGGGTTTTTTGGGAAGTTCAGTTGTGGCATCCTCACACCTGAGGCGGCTCCTCCCTCCGTAAAAATCAAATTAAATTTAAAATACGAGCTCAGAGCCAAGGTGCTGCTGAGATTTGGGGCGTTTCTGGGGCTCACAAACTTTGCTTTTTCCTTTTTTTTTTTTCCTTTCCCTTCTCTTTCTCCCTTTTTCTCACCCTCAGGCCACATTTGGTGGACACATGTCCGTCTCTTTTTGTATTTTTTGTGTTTTCCCCCCTTCTCGCACACTCTGGAGATCGTTTTTCCTCTCCTGCTCCATGTGGCTCCCAAAATCTCTGCCACCACCAGCAGAGCCCGGGGCCGCCCCGCTCCGCGCTGCGAATTCGGGAATTTGGGGCCCTCCCCAGGGGACAATAAAGATTTGGGGTGGGAGGCAGGCGGAGCTGCTGCTCGAAGGGGATTTGGGCCCCGAAGTGATGATTGATCCCCGAATTTGGGAGGGATTGATGGTGTTGGGGTGGGGTCAGGGGTGGCCTGCTCCTTCTTCAGCCTCCCGTCCCTTCTGGGGTTAAAAAATGGAATTTTCCTGATCCTAAATCCGAGCTCTTTGGGCGGGAAAAGTCCCTTGGCTTTCGTGGGGGTTTGGGATGTGCCTGGACCCCAAAATCCTGCTGTTCCCAAAATTCCAGGGGCCATCCCTCCATCCATCCATCCATCCGTCCATCCATCATCCATCCATCCGTCCGTCCATCCGTCCATCCCTCCCCACTCCCAAAATCGCATTTTTTGGGTATTCCCGGCCAAACTTCCCTTCCAAACCCACTCGCCCCACAGGAGCCACAATTTGGGGTTTTTGAACCTTTAAAGCCTCTTTGAAGGCGCTGCTGCGGCCGGTTTGGGGTTTCGAGGGGGGAAAAGCAGATTTTGGGTTTGTCTACGGCGTTTTCCCATGGGGTTTGCAGCCATGGGATTTTCAGTGGAATTTTACCTATGGGATTTATCAGTGGAGTTTTTATCTATGGGATTTTTAGCTATGGGATTTTTCAGTGGAATTTTACCTATGGGATTTATCAGAGGAGTTTTTATCTATGGGATTTTTAGCTATGGGATTTTTCAGTGGAATTTTACCTATGGGATTTATCAGTGGAGTTTTTGGCTATGGGATTTTTTAGTGGTGTTTCCCAATTGAGTTTTTACCTATTGGATTTTCAGTGGAGTTTTCCAATGGGGTTTTTATCTGTGGGATTTTTTCGGGGGATTTTTATTCATGGAGTTTTCCAATGGGGTTTTAAGCTATGGGATTTCTCAGTGGGGTTTTTGGCTGTGGGATTTTCCAGTGGGTTCTTATCTGTGAGATTTCTCAGTGGGGTTTTTGGCTATGGGGTTTCTCAGTGGGGTTTTTAGCTGTGGGATTTCCCAGTGGGGTTTTTGGCTATAGGATTTCCCAGTGGGGTTTTTACCTATAGGGTTTTATCCATGGGATTTCTCAGTGGGGTATTTTGCTATGGGATTTCTCAGTGGGGTTTTATCCATGGGATTTCCCAGTGGGGTTTTTGGCTGTGGGATTTTTCAGTGGGGTATTTTGCTTATAGGATTTCTCAGTGGGGTTTTTGCCTATAGGATTTCTCAGTGGGGTTTTTAGCTATGGGATTTTTCAGTGGGGTATTTTGCTTATAGGATTTCTCAGTGGGGTTTTTAGCTATGGGATTTTTCAGTGGGGTTTTCAGCTGTGGGATTTTTGAGTGGATTTTCTTCCCTGGGATTTCCCAGTGGGGTTTTTACCTGTGGGGTTTTATCCATGGGATTTCCCAGTGGGGTTTCATCCCTGGGATTTCCCAGTGGGGTTTTTACCTATGGGGTTTCATCCATGGGATTTCCCAGTGGGGTTTTTACCTATAGGATTTCTCAGTGGGGTTTTCAGCTGTGGGATTTTTGAGTGGATTTTCTTCCCTGGGATTTCCCAGTGGGGTTTTTACCTATAGGGTTTTATCCATGGGATTTCCCAGTGGGGTTTTTAGCTGTGGGATTTCCCAGTGGGGTTTTTAGCTGTGGGATTTCCCAGTGGGGTTTTTACCTATGGGATTTCTCAGTGGGGTTTTTGCCTATAGGATTTCTCAGTGGGGTTTTTAGCTATGGGATTTTTCAGTGGGGTTTTCAGCTGTGGGATTTTTGAGTGGATTTTCATCCCTGGGATTTCCCAGCGGGGTTTTTAGCTGTGGGATTTCCCAGTGGGGTTTTTAGCTGTGGGGTTTCCCAGTGGGGTTTTTGCCTATGGGTTTTCAGCCATGGGCTGCGCTCCTCGCTGTGGCACAGCCGGTCCCTCCCCGCGCTGTGCCCTCGCCTGGAGCATCCCGGCTCATCCCGGAATCCCAACCCCACCCCGGGATCTCTGATTTCCACCTGCGGCACCTTCGGGGCTGTTCCTGGAGGTTTTCCTTCCATCAAGCTGCGTTTTTAGGGGATTATTTGGGGTTTTTAGTGCGGTTTTTTTGGTGTTTTCCTTAGCCAAAGCTCCCTCTTCCTGCGAGGTGTCCCCGTCCCCCATTTTCCACCCTGCGAGGGGTCACGGGCTCGGCACAGGCTTCCTTTTTTTTTTTTTAAAGGAAAAAATTCATTCCAAACACAAAAAACCCCCCCAAACCCCGCCCGTTTGGGTGCGAGAGGAAGCGTGAGGAGAGTAAACAGGAAAGCGCAGCTCTGACCGTGCAGGTAGGCGGGGATTTTCATTTTCCTGGGCATTTTTCATCCTTGCTCGCGCTTCCATGGCACACGTCAGGCACGGGACAATCGCTCCTTCCGCAGCTGCAGGGCACAGGACAAACACAAAGCGCCTGAATTTCGCCTCCCGGCCCGGCCGGGACCCCCAGGACGGCGAAATTCCGCGCTGAAAATCGAGTATTTGTGCCGAGGTTTCCTGCGCCACGTGGGGAACGCTCGGGTTTTAGGGGTCTGCCAACCCCCAGTGCTGGAATTCGGGGTTTTTAGCCCCAAAAACGCCGAGTGAGGACCCTCCCCGTGAGCTCACCTGGCTCGCAGTGTCTGTCCCCCAAAAAACCCCATTCATGCAAATTCCTCCTTTATTTTTTGTCCCCTTGTGCTGTGCGTTCGCCCTGAAGGTTTCCTGTCATCAGCAGGGATTTGAATGGGGAAAAACCCCTAAATCACCTTTTTCTCACCCAAACCCAAGGTTCCCCAGGCTGCCAGAGCCCAGATGAGGATCTGGATTAATTACAGCCCTCATCAAGCTGCTTTTATTGGGGGGGGCTGGGCAGGAAGGGCCCCCCATGCCCAGGGTGCCGCTGAAAGGTGAAAAAAAGGTGAAATTTCGCCCACAGAATTCAATTTATTCAGCAAAAAATGGGGGCGGAGGGAGAATTTGTGAAGTTTGGGGGCGCAGAAAGCAGCTCGAGGTGGTAATGCCGTGCTGAGGCCATCTTGAATGTCAAGGATTTGTTTTATTTTATTTTTAAATGGTTTTTTTTTCCGAGTTTTGGTGCTGTTTAGGCCTTTCCCCGTTCAGCGTGTGAGGTGTAATATTAAATTTTAACTAAAATTAGGATTTCCTCCCACCCAAAAATTCCACCCAGGAAGCCACGCTTGGCACTAAACCCCTCCCAAATAAAAAACCAAAAAACCCCCCCAAATTCGAGTAACCCCGGACGCGCCCTACGCCTCATTTTATACACAAAAAAAAACCGATTAAAATCAGGTCAAGGATTTAATTAAGAGAATCCAATGAGAACGAAGGGGCGCAAATGAGAGAGAGGAGAGAGAGAGTCTAAAAAAAAAACCGAAAAAAAAAAGCAAAAAAAAAAAGGCAAAAAAAAAAAAAAAAAAAAGCGCACCAGAGCTATTCTAAGCGATTAAATCGCCATTTGAGCGGCATAATGGGGTTTGCACTCGGAGCAGCGATCGGAGCTCATATCTCATCAATAATTCATCGCCGGGATCACGGCGGGGTCAGCGCGGCCGCAGCGCCCGCGCCGCGCTGGGGCACCCGCGGCTCCCGCCCGCCCTTTTGGGGCTCTTTGCTCTTTTTGCTCCTTGCCAGCGGAGCGGATCCGCGCCCGCGCTGCTGCCGAGCAGGGGGAGGGCGCGGGGCCGGCTCCGCGCCGCCCGCGAAGCGCTGAGGGTGGGGGGCGATCGCGGCACCCCCGGTCCCCCCCCTCCTTTTTTCCCCCTTCTTTCCCCCCCTCTTTTTTTCCCTTTTTCTGCTTTTCCCTGCCCTTCTCCTCCTTTTTCCCCTTCCTTCCCTCCCCTCCTGTTTTTTTCCCTCTTCCTTCTTATTTTCCCTCCCCTCCCCCTTCTTTCCCCCCATTTCTTTTTTTCCCACCTCCTGTTTTTTTTTCCCTTTTCTTCTTCTTTCCCCCCCCCCCTTTTTTTTCTGCTTTTTGCCCCCTCGTTCTTCTTTCCCCGCCTCCTCCTTCTTTCCCCCCTTCCTCCTTCTTTTTTTCCCCATTTTTATGGGTTTTTTTCCCTCCCCTTTTCTCCTACTTTCCCCCCTCCTCCCTTTTCCCCCCATTTTCATGTTTTTCCCCCTCCCCCCTCTCATTTTTTCCACCTTTTTCTGCTTTTCCCTTCCTCCCCCTTCTTTTTTCCCCCTTTCCTGCTTTTCCCCTTCCTCCATCTTTTCCCTCCCCTCCTCCTCCTTTCCCCCCTTTTCTGCTTTCTCCCCTTTCCCCGTTTTCCCCCTTTCCCCCTTTTCTCCTTTCCCCACCTTCCTCTTCCTTTCCCCCTCCTTTTCTGCTTTTCCCCCTTTTCTCCTTCTTTTCCCCCCTCTGCCTTTCCCTCCTTCTGCTTTTTCTCCCTTTTTTTCCTTTTCTCCCCTTTCTGCTCCCCCCTTTCCTTCTTTCCCCCATTTCCTTCTTTTCCCCCCTTTCCTTTCCCCCTTTTTTCTTCCCCCCTTTATTCTTTTTTCTCCCTTTTCCTTCCCTTTTTAATTCCATTTTTCCTTTTTCTCCCCAATCTTCCCCCCTTCCCCCACCTTTTAATCCTCCCTTTCCCCCCTTTTTTCCCCTTTTCTCCCCCTTTTTCCCCCTTCCCCCCTTTTTTCCCTTTTCTCCCTTTTTCATTCCTTTTCCCCCCTTTCCTCCCATTTTTCCATTTTCTCCTTATTTCCCTCATTTTTCTCCCCCTTTCCCCCCTTTTTTTCTCCTCCTTTTCCCTCTCCCTCCCCCTTTTTCCCCTTTTTCTCCTTTTTTCTCCCCCCTTTTTCCCTTTTTCTCCTTTTTTCTCCCCCTTTCCCCCCTTTCTTCCCCCCCTTTTTCCCCTTTTTCTCCTTTTTTCTCCCCCTTTCCCCCCTTTCTTCCCCCCCTTTTTCCCCTTTTTCTCCTTTTTTCTCCCCCTTTTCTCCCTTTTCCCCTTTCTTCTCCCCCCTTTTCCCCCTATTTTTCCTCCCCCTCATTTTTAACACAGGCTCAAACCAAGGCACTCATTAAACCCCTCTCAATTAAACCCCCCCACCAAAAAATGCGATTTTTACAGGGCTCCTCCTCCCCGGGATCCCTTCCCAGCCCTGCCAGGGATTTCGGAGTGAAATTTCCTTTCCGCGCGGATTTTTCCCCGTCCCCCCCCGTTTTTGGGGTGGAATAAATGACATTTGGAGGGAGGTTGATCGCTGCACTCAGAGGTGTCCAACCCCGTGTTCCCTTACCCTAAATAGCTCCAAAAAGAAACTGTTTTGACAGCCAGCGTTGAAAGAAGGGGAGTTTGGGCTTTTTTTTTTTCTGGTTTTTTGGTGATTTATCTCTTTTTAACATGTGCAGGGACGTCCGCGGATATATACACCCTGGCTAGAAATATAAATACAGCTAGAAATAGAAATGGAAATAGAAATAATAGAAATAGAAATAATAGAAATAATAGAAATAATAGAAATAGAAATAGAAATAGAAATAGAAATAGAAATAGAAATAGAAATAGAAATAGAAATAGAAATATCTCCTGTATTTATCCACCCTTCGAGCCCCAACAAATCCCAGCGCTGGGGGTTTGGGGGGGTGAAGAAATGGATTTTTTTGGGGGTGAAAAGGGGTTTTTTGGGCGAGCCGCGGCCGGGGCTGGCTTGTAACGCCCCCGAGCAGCCAGCAGAGCTCGCCTCGCACCAAGGTCACGGCCGGGCTGGGCCGAGGCGGCTCCGCCACCCCCGGGACCCCCCGGACCCCCCCCAAAAACCTCCCCGCACCCTAAAAAAATATTTCTTAAAAACAGCAAAAAGTGACAGCAATGTCAATGATGAAAGTCAAAATATGGGGGTGATAAAATTCAAATATCAGTAAAATGATGTTATTGATCGTAATTAGTGTCAATACTGAAAGTCAAAATATTGGGCGAACTCGCTGAATAATGAAATGAAAACAGCGGTAAAAATATTATTATTTATGGTAAGAAAAGCAATGCGAATAATTCAAGTAAAAATATCAGATCGAGGCGAATTCGCTGAATAATGAAAGCAAAAATATCAGTAAAATGTGATTATTTATGGTGATAAAAGTCATACAAAGAACAGAAGTAAAAATATCAGCGTGAAGAGAATTCAGTGAGTGATAAAAATAAAAATATCAGGGTAAAGGTGTTTCACTTAATAATAAAAGTAAAAATATCGGAGCGAGGAGAATTCACTGAATAAAACCAGTAAAAATTCCCTGAATAATGGAAGTAAAAGCATCAGGGCCGTGGAGTTATTTCTGTTTTATTGCTCGCCAGTAAAAGAGAAATAACGCTGTGAAATGTTAAGGGGATTTTTTTGTCCCTTCCTGGTATTTCAGATCAAAAATCGGAAAGGAAATCAGAAATATCTGATATTTCAGATAGAAAATCAGGAGAAATGAGAAATATCTGATATTTCAGATGGAAAATCAGGAGAAATGAGAAATATCTGATATTTCAGATAGAAAATCAGGAGAAATGAGAAATATCTGATATTTCAGATGGAAAATCGGAGCTGAAATCAGAAATATCTGATATTTCAGATGGAAAATCGGAGCTGAAATCAGAAATATCTGATATTTCAGATGGAAAATCGGAGCTGAAATCAGAAATATCTGATATTTCAGATAGGAAATCGGAAGGGAAATCAGAAATATCTGATATTTCAGATGGAAAATCGGAGCTGAAATCAGAAATATCTGATGTTTCAGATTGAAAATCGGAAGTGAGATCAGAAATATCTGATATTTCAGATGGAAAATTGGAAGGGAAATCAGAAATATCTAATATTTCAGATAGGAAATCGGAAGGGAAATCAGAAATATCTGATATTTCAGATGGAAAATCGGAGCTGAAATCAGAAATATCTGATGTTTCAGATTAAAAAAGCGGAAGGGAGGGGAAAAACATAAATATTTCAGATTCAGATGGAAAATCGGAGCTGAAATCAGAAATATCTGATATTTCAGATAGGAAATCGGAAGTGAAATCAGAAATATCTGATATTTCAGATGGAAAATCGGAGCTGAAATCAGAAATATCTGATATTTCAGATTAAAAAAGCGGAAGGGAGGGGAAAAACATAAAGGAAAAAAAAAGCAAAAGCAGAGCTCCGCCACAGCCCAGGCTCCGATTTTTGCTCTCTCCGCTGGGGAAGGGGACGCGGCCAAGAAAGGAGCATTATTAGCATTATTTAGCATTATTTAGCATTATTTCCCATAATTAAAATTAAAATTTAAATTTAAAGTAAAAATAAAATTAAAAATAAAATTAAAATTAAAAATTAAATTGAAATGTAAAATGAAATTAAAAATTAAAATAAAAATGACATATAAAAATAATAAAAAATACAGATAAAATCTAAAAATAAAAAG